AATTGTGAATATTGTACTTCTGTCAGGAGCTGGATTTACGAAAGCATGCTGGGCTCGCAATCAAGTTTTTAATGCTTGTAATGCGAAGTCCTTTTAGCTAAATAGAACGAAAAGAAACACAAATGCTTTGAATCAGCATCTTAACTACTATTCGGCAATTTTTTGTTAATTTTCTGATATCGCTTCCCAGTTACTATAATTTTGCTTTAATTGCTTGTTCTGTTACAGAGGTCTCCAGTTGCAAGGCATTAAAAGTCAATTAGCAGCTAATAGACCTTCTTAGCTTCTGCTTTGTTTTCCCAATGCAGGTCAAGTGATAATTCTCAAGAAAACTGTTTGTTTCAAATTTCTCCATATTCATGAGGATATATACGCGTAATTTTGGAGAAGACTCTTGGGGCAAATTCCCCTGGGACCTTCATTTGGAAAACAAAACATACAAGCTAAAGAGGTCTATTGACGGACGGAGCGATGCGTAGAATACAGCTTAGCCGAACCGCAGCCGGGCGCGAAAAAATGATTGGAAGATAGTAAATCGCTGATATTTCGAAACGAAATGTCGGCGAAAGAGTAGACGACTGGACGAAATTCTGCAAATTTTGTCCTTAAGTCTTTTTCACAGTACTGTGGGTATACATGAATATATCCTAAGTTAAGCCTACTTTAGAGCAGACTTAGGATATTTGCAAATGGGACATGTCTAAAATAATGATATGTTCTTATGTTCCTAAGTTATATCTCAGGATATATCTTAGGCAGATTCAGTCTTGTTTTAAAATGGGTTAGCCTATCTAAATCTTTTGTTCGATATATGCTATATTTATGGTAATTTCCGCTGTTTTCCCTAAATTTTCCTTGTTTACTTGCTTAAAAAGCTAGATTAGTAGCTCTGTTATGTTGTTACAGCGACTTCGAAAGCGATCTTGACTAATGACCCATCTCGGCCCCCCGGGGGGGGGGTACTTTAGGAATTTCTGGGTGGGGATGTGCCGCTGGGACCCTGGAACCCTTAACCTATACCAGAGCTAGTTCAGCTAAATTTTGCTACCCTATACTAGAGTAAACTCCCCAAATCCCGCCTATCCTAGAGTAGCTGTTTCCCTAGTCTAGAAAAAATCTTCAACCAACTGGATCTCGGATCTCGCCCTTGAAAAAGTTCATATGCCAAGGAGGGAATTCTAAAAAAAGTCGTTTTAATTCAATGAAACCTTTTTAAATGTGTTTTTGAACGAAGTTTTTAAATAAAAACGTTACAGCTATATTTGATCAAAAACAGTTTTGAAATGTCAACTGAAAATCTATAAGAAGCAATTGTAAGGTTTAAAATATGCCCGGTTAAAGCAGAAACTGACTGAGTGACACCGACACCCGGGCACCGACAACAGAGTGAAGACACAAGGTTTCAAATTCCAGCAACTAACTGCAATCAATTATCGATAATGACAAAAGACCACACAAAAGACGCATATATTAGCAAGATTTAAAAACTTTATTGTGCTTCTTTCTTGCATGCAGAGCATCGCAATGAAATATAAAAAATGCGTTTATGCCGCATTTTTTACTGATCATTTGAATCAAGCAGGGAGTAACGTTACATTTATACGCCATACGGTCTCAGATATCTCCAACTAAGCCAAAAAAACTATCGAATGAATGTTGACCAATTTTTACCCAAATTTTTACCCCCTGGTAGCACGTCACAAAATCTCTTCATAAGACACAATCATTCCATTATACTAAAGATCAATCATATCGGAATTTTTCTTCCAAATTTTAGCAAAATTGGTTTTAAAGTTAAACGATTAGCAAGTCATGATTGATCTTTTTCAACAACCTGTAGAAAGTAGAGCTTCTGAGAGAAACAAAATTCATTTTGGAACAGTCAATTTTAGAAAAACAGAGAATATATAAACACAAATCTTCTCGTGATGCTAACAAATCGAATATTTTTAGAAACAGCCGGGATAAAAATTCACCAATTAATTCCATTTAGTTTTTTTCCAAAGCAAATACGGCTTTTTTCGTCCTCAGTTATAGAAACAACTTATATAATAACGTGATATTATAAAATATACTTATCTGTCGGCCTTCCGTTCGCTTGTCGGAATGGACTTTCCAAGGACTCTGAACGTGCACTGTTGAAGTTCCTTTAACGTACCATCGGTTTTACAGATTTCTCTGTGAAAAGACAAAAGAGATTAACGAAGTAATTACTTTCCTTTACGTTTAGTCTTCACAGATTTTCCTGGCTTATGGCTCTTGATGTATCATATTCCCTCAAAGTTGTTGATTTTCAATTTACCAACGCCGACAAAGGGGACTCATTTGTTGATTCTCGTTATTTTTACGCAAATGTTTTCCGTTTTATTAGTACCTTTCTATTGTAAAATAAAATCGTAATCAACAGCAAATTAAAACGTCAGCTAATATGAATTGTACATACCAGTTAGAAAGAGGAACAAAAGGTTTAACCTATTGTAGTTTTGGTTACGATGTACATTTAGATGCTTCTTCGCCACTGAAAATGATTTCTCGGAGATTACAAAGAAACAGATTATAACTAGGAAAAACGGTGAAGTTAAACTTTGCTGATTACCTGACATAAACCCCAGAGACTGGCTGAAGGATCCCACGCCAAAGTCCTCGAGGCATTCTCACTCGGAGAAGAAGCTGCAGGGAACTGTTTCACTGTTGGTAGAAGGCAAAAAAGTGAGTTTGTCTAATTAATACTATTGAGTCAGTTTGTATTTGCTCCAAACCTATCCAAATTTTATCCTAAAAAAAGCATGAAAGAAATAGAGCAGCAACTCAAGTTTACTTCTACGACAATCGTGGGATGTAAGAGTTTGGCCGCAAACCGCTTCAGTCAACACGTGTCGCCTGAACACTTTTGCAGTTTTAGAGACAGGCTCTGATGTATAAAGCTCTAAGAGAAATGACTTATTAAGAGAACAAACCTGTTATCGTCTTGACTGATGTACAACAAATTTATCCACAAGAGGCAAAACCACAGCGTTTAGGTCGTCTTTCCAGTCGCTACTTTCAATTATAATACTGGGTGTGTTCCTTGGTTTTATACCTTCTGGTATAAACGCTAATTTATTCAGCTCAGGCAAGGAAATACTTTTCACAGAGCAAAAAAAAAAAAAAAAAACAATAGGAAGTGCTACTTCATGATAGTTCCAAGAAATATGTAAAAACCCACCTTGCAACCTGTTGTTTTCGGCTTGTCGGAATTTGCTGCACTGTTTTGTACAATGTAATTAATCCTCTATCATTAAGATCTGGTAGTTCATTGCATGATGTGCACCCAAAATTTTGTAAGTGCATTTCCATTCTTAGTTTTCATGTTATTACCAAGAGAACAGTATTTTTGCTGTCTAGATTGCGGTGGCGGCCGGTGCTAGTTTAGCGAAACAAGACGCACTTTAGTGGGGTTTGAATAAAAACGCCTTTACCTGTAGATTAATCGTATAATATTCACACTTTGGGAAAATGACAACATGAGATGAGAGAAGATTATCACCATTTGTTTCCTCTGTAGCTTATCATTGGTGTAACCAGGAGAACAATAACAACAACAGGTTTACTTAGTATTACAATTTATATACATGTTACCGATTGAAATACAAAAATTAATTTTTTAAATTTTTTTTCGTCTTTCAAATGCTTAAAAACGTACATAATAAACAGTTAGGGCCTGTTTACATGGAGGTGGGGGACCCCAGGTAGGTGAGGTAACCCGCTTAGGTGGGGTAAAAAAAAGGGAAGGAAGAAAAAGACAGCGCGCGGGGCACTGGGAGCGAGAGGAGTGCCCCTTTACTACCCACAAGGCTTAACCAGGCGCGCCAGCCTTGCACTCGGCCCACTGTTATCGAGATCTTTAGTATAGTCCGTGAAGACGCTCTTTACAGAAGGTTTAGAGTGTCTGCAATCGACCCTTAGCTGTACTTCTATTTAAAACCCTCTGCGTCCTCTCACGTTATTAAAACTCATAAGCAAACAAATAAACAAACAAAAAATGGACCATTGAAAGAACATTCCCTATTTCCGCCTTTCTCCCTGCTTTCGCACTTTGAGAAAAAATCATAACAGACCTAGCGTGTTGCCTTTTTGTCTAAGAAAAAACGTTACTCTTTCGCGCGCAGATTTGATACAAAAACCTTTGTTCTGACCCCTTTCAAACAGACTACCGGCGCCGGGGGGGAGGACTTCCATATATGGGCTATATAGGTATGTGCCACTGTGAAGGGTATGGTTTTCAAACCGCAGTTTACTTTGGGATAGGGTATATAAATCTGAGAGTTTGGGTCTTGAATACGGTATCATTTTCTAGGAAGCTGATCAATTGTTTGAAGATTTTAGTCTTGACTAAGGGAGCCCGGAATTGCCACTCAAAAACATATTAAAATCAAATTGGTTTTGTTTTGGCTGCACTGCGCTAGTGACCTCAGTAGTTTCATGAAAACAGGTACTCTATGTTAGGGGAGGATTTAGGGAGTTTACTCTAGTATAGGGTAGCAAAATTCAGCTGAACTAGAAGTGGTATAGGCTAAGGGTTCCAGGGTCCCAGCGCCACATCTCCATCAAAAAACTCCTAAAGTACCCCCCGGTCCACCGGTAATAATGCTGTGGTTCACACACCCTTGTGGCATTTGATATTATTGTCACGTAATATCATCGTTTATTTCTATACTCTTTTAAAAATGTTTTTACTTTGTTTTTTTAAACTGATCGTAAAGACAAGATTGTTAAAGAAAGCAGATCGTGTTCTTCATCGCGTTCTTATTTACTTAAGTGTTCTCCATTTGATGTCGAAGCAAGATATTCAGACATACATACAGAAATCACTATTTCCAGACGCATCACAGATATCTTAGACAGTACAGAGACGCAATAAGAGTTTGCCTTGCAACTTCGTCCTCTGTTTCCACTTCCGTTCTTTTCAACTACACCGGAAATACAACCGATTCGCACCCACATCATTCCTTCCCACAATACATCACGCAACTCCATCCGCCATCTTTTCTTTCTTCTTTCTCAAAACAACTGAAGTAAGCTTGTACCACTGGTTTACCCAGCAGGAGATTTTGAAAATAATTTACCCTAGAATCTGCGTTAATTGTGTTGAAACTAGTACAGGAAAAGATTTACCGACAAAGAGATCAGTACTCAGAGTGAGTTCTTAACGTCCGCGCAGTCAGTGTTGTGTCCAACTTCAGTGGCAGAGCTCACTTCATGAGGCAAGCGGAAATAGGGTCGGAGCTTCCTACAGTGTCTCGACAACTTGCTGTCTATTGAAATTACTCGGTGTGAAGCTACGCTAATCTGTAGCTATGGATGTACTGTTACTGTAATCAAAATGGCGAAAGATCGAGTTGATATTTAGCGGTTCAAGATGTCTCGAAATTCCAACAAGAGAAACAGTTCCAATCGCGGATCTACTGGGTCGGACATCGCTCGTTCCACTCTCAAAGTTTTCCTTTCAAACGGCGATTCTAGATCTGTTAAATGCGGCGAGGCAACAGACGTTAAGGTGAGAATGTTTCCTTCTCATTGTTAACCCAGGTAACAAGATTTTTCACCTATACTAATCGTTTCGTGTTATCAGCATTTATTCGCTTGAAAACTCTCTAGGAATTTCTCGTTTGTATTAAAGTCAATTGGAACTGCGGGAGAGATCGTGGATTTTTCTTCTGTGCTTTTGTAAGAATGCTTGATGATTCCTCTCTTGTTTGGTCTAGGCTCTTTTACTAGCTTTCTATCGCTTACGGCTTTATTCGAATTCCTCTGTTATAATTTCTACCGGGGCCCCTATATAAAAATATAAGCTTTTGAAAGCTCTTTTCTTTTAATATGTTGACGTTTGTTTTCCATCCTTTTGATTTAACCTGTACAGTTTAAGGGTAAATTTTAGCAAAGACTGGTGTGATAACAGTGTGTTCACTTTTCCTTCAGCCGGAATCAATATTAACGTTAAAAGAAAAACCTTAAGTCTACTGGTGTTGGAAGTGAAATATCTGACGTGATAAATTTGTACGAGCTTATTTAATGGATATTTTCATTTTGTGAGTGCTTTTCTTTTCCTTGGCTCTTAAATCCTTCTTCCTAAAACCTGACATATTCTACTGGAAATTCAAGAAGTTGCTTCCAGATCTGCCAATTTGAAATACTGAGTCACGAATGCTGTATTTTAATTAAATTGTTTTTGTTCGAAATTTTCAACAATTAATACTACTTTAGTCTTAAGTTCATACTTAAAAGCTATTGGGGATTTGAAGTCGAGTTTGCTCTTCAGTCTTAAAATTTTGAACCTTCTATGCTTCTCTTCACTTTTTGATGTTTTTTTGTGCAAGCTTCAGATGAGTTATTAAAACAAGAAAAATTCATTATTTTTTAAAATGATCCAATTAGCATGTTTGGTAATTAGATGATCACTTTGTTTTGAACTTGTAATAAGAGATATTTTCATTAGATTTGTTTGGTTATGAAAGTGTGTTTACTTTTTTGTGTTTCACTAATCAATTGTGTTCCTAATATGACCCTAAGGAATACAGTTTTGGAATAAAGGTTTCATTCATTTATTCGAGGTTCCTGTACTTATATAAATGATTTATGAATATTTTTGGACCTCCACCAAAGCCACTTGAACTGCTTTAAAAGAGGTTATAACTTGACAACTGTGGTTTGGAAGTACCCTAAATTAAATTCTTTAAGTGTGTGTTGTTGCTGTCCACACACATGAGGCTTATTACTACAAGTCAGTATCAGAGTAAGATTAATCAGATCAAATACAATGTCTGGTTTCTTTAGCTTAAATTCATCACAAGGGCAGCTGCAGGGAAACCTTTACACTGTAGTTGGTGGTTGAGTCAATGTGCTTTGGAACTTGCCTGTCACCTTGCTGACTATCCTGTGCACTGTAGGCCTGCTGTTTCTCAGATATCTCACTTATTCAAAAGTTACATTTGCTCTCCATTCTCTTCCTTGCTGAGATTGTTTTTCACCCCCCTCTCTCTCTGGTCATCCTCCCTTCACAAAAACTAACATTTCCAGTTTCTTGCTTGATCAGCAATGTTGTAGACCGAGAATCTGTTGTACTTGGCATAGGTCTCCTTTTAGCCTGTGTAGCAAGCATTTCCTTGTGGTTTTGGAGCAAAGAACATGGAACGAGAGTCAAAGACCGCATGAAAAATGAGGCTAGTAAAAGAGCAGGGAGGGGGTTTGCAAACAAACCCCTGGATTTTAAAAACCGCCCTCTTGACCTGGCATGGCTGACTGCATGCACCAACATTTGATGCTGTCATCAGCTGTCATAAATTGACCAATAAAATGTTTGGCCTTCCATGAAGTGGAAGTGACATGGTTTGTAGAATCTCGAAAAGGTCTTGAAAAGTCTTGAAAAGTCCTCGAATTCAGTTACGGTCCTTGAAAAGCACTTGATTTCTTTATCAGCTTCAGTTTAAGGTGCAATCCATTCTTCAAAATTTGGATCTGCAAATTACTATCTGAAAGAATTTAACATCCTGCAAAAATCACCAACGAGCTAAGCCCAGCATGACAAAACATTCCAGGAAACCACTTTGGAGAAAATTGAACCCCTATAACCCCTATTTAGCTGCAAGAAGAGCTCTACATTTCAAAAAGAAGTGCATCAGAGTGCAAATCTTGCTGACCAGAAACAAATCCTGCAGAAAATTAATGTGCTCGTCAGGGCCTCTAAGTATGAAACAAATCTTTGATCGACATGTAAATTATGTTCGACCAGCCGAGCCAATCAGGCGCCCCATCTGCTGGCAAGCGTGGTTTTTAAAATCCCAGGGTTTGTTTGCAAGTGTTTCCTTCCTTCCCCTCCCCTCCCCCTCTTTCATTTTTTGGCTCTCGTTCCATTTTTTACACAGCCAAAACCAAAAATCCCGCTCCAAAAACAAACGGAAACGCTTGCTGCGTGCAGGCTAGTCTCCTTTAGGGCTCAGCTCATCAACTGAGAGGTGATCAACTGGAGGGGTCATAAGATGAAACCAAATTGGTGTGTTGAAAGTTCATATGAAGCGGGTTTTTCTTTATTTACAGATTGTTAAGCAACGCTTTCTTAGCTTTGACAAAGAAAATTTCTGGAAAAAAAGTTCCACTCATACTATCTGGGTATTTCCAAATGACAACAATGTTTATGTATTCTTTGTAGATATAGGATATGGTATGGCCAAGTGTGCCAGACTTGTGATCTGGAAGTCTAGGATAGAATTCTTGCTCTTTTTTTTGATATAATAATTATTGTTTTCTACGATATATTTTTTCTACGAGCATTAGTCCCCAGGGGTTTCAATAAAAATTGTAGTAGCCAGCAGGTTTGAATAGAGTAACCGACTGTATCAACAAAGGGGCGTTAGTCCCCTTTTTTAGGGGCAGGAGGGGGCTGGGCATGTTGTGCCCCAGAAAATTGTGAAATTTCAAGCCCTAAAATGCGATTTTCAGCATTCTGTGGACCAAATTTGAGGACTAAAGAGTGTGTTTTTCATTGAAGAAAATGTAGCTTTCAATTTATCAGTGACACAATCAATTCCTACAAGCAATGAACAAATGATGAAAACTAAATTACATACTTTTGCACGTAAACAAATTCTGCGTAAACCTATAAAGAAACTTGTGAAAAAATGACTGAAATAATTTTATAGCTTTCACATGACTAAAGCATAACCTAAACCAGTGAGTCTTTATGAAAACACATCATAATTACATTTTCATTGAGATTTTGATATATTTTTATTTCACAACGTTATTCAAACTAGTTGCTTCTTCTTTCTAGAAAAAAGTAGCTGGCGTGTTTTGTCAGCTGTCGGTGCTTATTGAAACCCCTGAGTCCCAAATGGAGGCCAGATTAACAACAACTGAACCTGCGTAAACAGATCTGTCATTAAGAGCGGTAACCCATAACACTTGTTATGGCTGAGTTCAAAGTGCAAAGCTAAAGGTGACAACATAAATTTTTGTGAGATGTTACACGTGAATCTTCTTTCACTCGCTATGGCTGCTTCAAAACTTAATGACAGCCCTGGCAAAAATATCTCCATAAAGGATTTTTTCATAATAATGGTCCATTTTTTGGGGACAATACTTCAGATACATCTAGTCACAAGAAGGCTTTGTGAATCCAGCCCAAGAGCCTAAGTCTGTTTGTTGTTTGCAATACAGTGTCCTTTAAACGGAGGAAAAGCTTATGAAAGTGAATATATGAATTTTTGCATGAGAGGTATTTAACTCATGATTGATCATCTCAGTTAGTTACCCAACCTAAAATTCATGTGTCGGCAGCATACTGTACATTGTGTGTATTGTATGTTACATTTGGCCTGCAGTTAAGTCAAAGTTTTCTATATGAATTATTTCATATACTTCACATCATTTCACTCCTCACGGGAGATATGAACTCAATAAATTGACCTCGCTCCCAATGTGTGGCTTCATAGCTCAGTTGGTAGAGCAACGCACCGGCAACGCGGAGGTCACGGGTTCGAATCCCGTTGAAGCCCTGATTTTTTTTTCAGGCTTCTTCTTTCCAATTGCTTAAATTGGAAAATTCACTGCGATGATCATTCTTCACTTTCATCTACAACCGCAGTTCAAATATGAATTATTTCATATACTTCACATCATTTCACTCCTCACGGGAGATATGAACTCAATAAATTGACCTCGCTCCCAGTGTGTGGCTTCATAGCTCAGTTGGTAGAGCAACGCACCGACAACGCGGAGGTCACGGGTTCGAATCCCGTTGAAGCCCTGATTGCTTAAATTGGAAAATTCACTGCGATGATCTTTCTTCACTTTCATCTACAACCGCAGTTCAAATATGAATTATTTCATATACTTCACAATATAAAAACAGATGAAACTTTATATGGCTTAGGGTATCTAAAGAACAACAGTGATTTTTTTAATTGTATAGGGAATTGTTCATCTGGTGATTGGTAGCCTTGGTGCAGATCCTATAACCACAGGAGATTACTATGGGATCAAGCTGGAGCATGTTAATACAAATGAATCGTTCTGGCTTAACAGCAAAGTTACGATGGGGGAAGTTCGAAGTAAACATGAGGCTCTGTACCCTGCAGATGAGTGGAAGTAAGTTGGAATCCTTTCTAGCACTGCGTTAAAAATACTCTTGGATTAATTTTAAGTGTGGTTTAAAATACAGTGAAACCTGGCTAATACGGAAACCAAGCAGGTGCACATCTGCTTTAGCTGCCTTTTAACCTAACATGCTTTACTAAACTAACTATAAATGAATGAATGAAATGAATGGAAGGGAACATGCCATGGTGTCCTTATTATTTGGCTGGGGGTGAGTGTTAAGGGGGCTCTCGCAAAAAAGGTCATGGACACATGTTTTATTCATATAGAGACTAAAGCAGGTATGGAGGAAGATGGGCGGGAACAAAGAATACATGTACAGCAAAAAGACAAGGTAGTAGAATTTGTCTAGCAGGAGGCAAAAAACTTTACTGACAGGCAACAGTAAAAGGGTCAAACATGTAAAGAAAGTGGAAAACAGACAGTGTGCATGTATTCTGTTTTGTGTCCAAATATATATATCTGTATGGCAAAGTTTTATACTCCAAATTGTCAAACAATATAATTGAGACTTTGTGATTTTCAGGACACACAAAATTAAGTGTCCAACCCTGAAAAGGGTCAAACATGTGTGGAAAACCATGTAACCTGTGTCCCCTGACAAAGGAAAAATGGAGGTTAGCCTATGTGTAACCACACCCTCCCCCTGACAAAGGAAAAATGGAGGGGGGATGTGCGGCCACACATAGGTTAAGAAAGTATCAATTGTCTGTATTAACTGGCATCTCTTTTAAGGGGGTTAATTGTAGAGAAAACATACCGTATGAGATTTTGTTGGGACAAACGAAACTGTCCATTATATAAAGGTGTTGACATTAAGAAGGTGCCCATAGAGCGGGGGTCCACTGTATTGTACTTGCAGTTATCTATAAGTGTCAGTGTTAAAGTATGGTAAGAAAAATTGGTCCCTGCTGTTTGAACTATGAGTAGTGTTGGTCTTACTCCTTTTATTCATGTACAAGTATATATATGCTATAGTGTTGCTTTTTACCACTATCATTACAGTGGAAAATACTTACTCTTAAAACTACTCTGCTTTTAGGTATCAGTTAAGAGTTCGATATTTTCCAAAGGATTTGAAGGAGCTCTACACCAGGGACAAAGTCACCTTCTTTTACCTATATGACCAGGTGGGTCAGAAAAAAAACTGAGAGCGAGATGAGGGAATTACAACTGTTATATAGTAACACTTTAAAGATGGCCAGTGAGTAGCAGAAAAAATGACATTTTTCAGTTACTCCTCTTTTTTAGACTGGTTTTAGGTTAATGAGCATGGGGATGGCTAAAAAAGAGTTTTACAACAATAAGGCGTATTTTCCGCCAAATTAGATGTAATTTTAAAGCAGCTCTTTTATGTTTCATGCATGCCTAGAAGCCAAAATTTGGACTTTTTTTCGGCAAATCTATTTTGATTTTTTTTCTCACTCTCTTTTCTCCCGTCTTCATTTATTTCTTATATATTCACTTTTGTTGCCCACTTTATCATTTTTCTTTTGCATGGAATTGTGGCTGGCTAACTTTTTAGGAAAGGGAGAAATAATTTAATCTACAAGGAATGGTGAAATTGGCAGTGGATTTTTCCCCAAAATGTAAATCTGTCAGAAATTATTTCTTAAAGTGAAAGCTAAGTGGGTCCAGGGAGGATTAAACAAGCATTGTCTCATGTGAGGCAAAAACAACCCTAGCTGTCTGAAAAGGGTTAAAGTCATAACACTGCTCCCCAAGGAAATACTACTCATGCACAATACAACATTTTGCAGCATTAGATAAAAATTTAAGAATAATCCAAGAAAACATCATAAAAGAAACAAATATACTGTTTGTTAATGGCTTTTTAATACATCTGATTGTAGTAATATTGGCAAGAATGTAAAAATGAAAATGGGCAAAGCAAATTGGAATTACTGCTAACTAGCTTGTCTTAATGAATTCATGGCTTTCAGATTCCATTGCAATTTGTTAGTAATAATGTAACTTTCTTTCAACCATGAAAATGAAATAGACTTTCCTGTCCCCACCCTCCCACTGCCAAAGAAGTTTACATCGTAGATTACATGTATGTCCACAGTCGTAGTCATCTCGTTACCCAGTTTGTTCTTTCAAATGAATAATCAGTTTGTTCTCATAGATTTAAACACCATACAATGTTACAAGGTGCAATAAGCGACATTCCACTTCTGAGTTAATTCATATCCATGACCTTTTTGAAAAGTGTGACCGCAAGTTGTTCACCAAAATTAAGAACAATGTTAACCATCCATTATATGCCCTTTTGCTGAAAGTCAAAGAGTCATCCAAGAGGTTAAGATCACAAGCAAGTCAGTTACCACGGATTAATACAGAATGTTTTAAGAATTGTTACTTTAATACAATAAAGTTTAAATACAACTTAGCAATTTAACAATATAGATATATTCATTGTTTTATCAGGTTTTATATGATTGTTGTAATGATCTGTGCGATTTTTATGATTTGTATACTTCACTCTCTGTAACATTTGTTATGTGTTTTAACGGGCAAAATAAAGACATTTATTATTGTTATTATTGTTATATATTATTGTTATTATTATTATTATTGCAGGTTGCTATCTCTTATTCTAATTTATATTTGTAGGTAAAAAATGACTACCTTCAACATAACAGTGAAAAAGCAGATGAGGACACAGCATTCAGACTTGGAGTGTTGGAAATGAGGTGAAATAAATTATTGGTTTTGATCAATCTGTTTTTCGGCTCTATCAGTGTCTATAGATACCTATTCTCAGTAACTGAATCATTTAAATCTTCTTTTCCATGTAAGGTTTAAAGATGTTAGTGTTTGATTTTCTTATTGCTCATTCTGCTGTTATCTTCTAAAATTGTTTGTCGTTTGTTGTTTTTTCTTACTCTTTTTCAGGAGATATTTTAAGGACATGCCCCAGATTGCACTTGACAAAAAGTCAAACTTTGAATATATTGAGTAAGTATCATTACTGAGGAAATTATTGAATATATTATTTAAAACACAGCCTCTCATTGTTTTGTTCTTTTCCTGGAACTTAGGAAAGAAGTTGGATTGACCAAATTTATACCAAAGGATGTTTTAGAAAACATGAAGGTAGTTGTTGATACCCTTATAAAAATATGATGTAACCCAGGTAGTTTTCCTTCTGTTTGTTCTTATTGGTCCTTGCTGTAGGCCTTCTGCTCTGGATACTCTCTTCACTCATGTAATACCTAAAAATAGTGATTCATACAGTCATGTGTTGTTATCATTGATTAATGTCTTTTTATTTTACTTTATATTGTATGTTGTGCATTGTATATTAATATTTGTGGTTATCATCTGGCATATTGTGCTGTCATTAGTTGCTGTTATTAGTAGATCTCATGGCATCTGACAATAAAGCTGTGTTGACCTGCCAAAAGTCTCTGAGCAGGCTGTAGTGCAAAATCTACAATGTACTTGTACGTTTATCTTTGTAGGCTATGAAGAAGTCACTTAATTACTCATTCCTAAGGAGTTTAATTTATTTCCCTTGAATGTTTATGTTTCACTCTGCCATAGGAAACATTTAGATTTATGGAAAACAGTGTTAACTCTTCCTTAGGATCAGTCAAAGTATTTTTATATATGTGTTGCTTATTACCTTTTTAATTGTTGTATAATAAGGTTAACATATTTAACTGTTCGTTCTTTATATATTTTTTTTCATCGTAATTCAGTGTGCTGGAAGTTCATTATAAGTTTTGAGTATTCATAAATAATATCTTCCTTTTATAGTCCAAGGTTTTGCGGAAGACCATTCATGGTTATTTCAAACAGTATGCTGCTCTGAGTGAGGTAGAATGCTGTTACACATTTTTTGAGATTCTCTCCAAACTTCACCGCTTTGACCTGGAGTCATTCAGATGCTCTCTTGGGGTGAGTCAAATAATTAATGATAATAATTAAAAGACCACATGACCTCCCAGTAAAAAAAAGCAGCAAGAAAACATTTGCTCAATCCACACTATGAATTATGAATCCTCGAAAAGCAATGTATTAGCAAGGTGTAAATGCCTTGTAGGCATACCAAATCCCCTTTTTTATTCTTTTAGACGAAGGCTAAAACAAGTTTTGTGATTCAAGTTTACTACACAATTAATGAATAAGAATTGAAAAAGACTATTGATTCACTTTGTTTAAAATCAGTCATTGGTTGACTAAAAGTGGACCTCTGGGGCCTGTGGGGGGGGGGGGGGTTGCAAACACACCCATCACACCCCCTCCCTACGGGCCTGGAATTTGTGTTGCCTAATTTTTCAGGAGAAAGAAACCTTACACACTGTACTCAAATATGTATGTTTCAGTTTAACCTGCCAGGGAAAATATGTAACTAGACAATTTGAAATTGGGAAATTTCAACATTTTGTCCCACTACAACCTGTACTTTCTTTAAAATAATTTCTCAATTCTCAGTGGTTTCTGAAAAAAAACTTTCTCCATCAAAATGAAGCCTAGTAAATGCCCAGCAAAGGAAAACAATTGGTGAAACAAAGAGTTAAAGAACTTGGACAGAGAGAAGGCAAAAGGTGAAAGTTGAGGGGCAGTGCCCCTTTTTTTTCCAAGATCTTTTTCTTAATTTTTGTATTCTTTGCGTGCCCAAGTTCCTAAAGCTTTCAGTAGGAACAAAGCCTAACTGAGTTTTAAACTTGCAAACAATTTTTTTGCTTTTTTCTGGTTAGATGGTCACCAGAAAACAACTGAACTACTATATTTAAATGTTGTTTTGTGTGCAATTCTCCAGGGCAAGTAGGTTAGCAAGTTATGATTTGGCTGCTTTAGAAATTTTCTTTGGACAAGCAATTTTATATGCAAACCGATGATGTAATATTTACTTAAGTACTCAACTATCCTAGACTAAATTCCATGTAGATTTAGAAATAACAGGATGATCAAAAATGTTTTGTTTAATATGTTTTACTTGCAGACTGGTTGGACAATAGTAGTTGATGTGGTTATTGGTCCACAAGATGGAATATGTTATAGGGCTGAACGAGGTTCACTTGTAAGTAGTGTCTTACCATGTAACAGCCAGGTTTTCCCTTAAATAGTAATACCTTTGGTGAAATGTTTTTAAACTTTTGCCTCCATGGATGAAATCCAGCCTTTTGTCTATTTTAGTGAAAAATTTTGTTATCCCATGTATATCAGTAAGACTTAAGGTGGTGTCACACGGGACAATTCGCAACAACAATTTTTTGCGCAACACAGCGTAGCAATGTTGGAACAATGTTGCAACTATTCGAAACAATGTCGCAACATTGTTGAAATCATGTATTGCATTAAGAATCGTCGTTGCAAATCGTCCTGTGTAACATTAAACTTTAAAGGGCAGGCGCTTTCCCTCTGCTGTTAGATGTTTAGTCCCTTTCTACATTGAAATATTTAGTTCACCCTGAAACAAATAATTTTCTGGTGCTTTTTAGCCCCTTTTAATTTAGTATTAACATACCCTCTGCTACTAAAAGAAGTATTATTGTGTTTTTCCTGGTTAATTCTTTAATTAAAGGAATGTTAAATACAATGTTTATGTTGACTGTTGAAGGTGATGTTTTTCTTATTACAGATTACACATATGGCAGATTTCCACCAAGTAACATCAATTTCAATCACCAGAATTCCACTCATCACATCTCCTGTCCAAACAGATAAACAAAAAGCCATTGTCAGCTTGAAAGTGTTAGGGGCTGCTGAGGTTTGCTTTGTTTAAATTGTATATTTTGCACATTATCTGTAGAACTGTGAGTGCAGTCAGCTGGGGTTTCCTAGTTGCCACAGATTAAAAGATGATGTTATAAAATTCATCATAGCCAATTTTTGTTCTGCTTCTGTAAGGAAGGCCACTTTCAAATATTAAAACTTAAAAGTACCTTAGCGACTTTTTAAAGTTCACTCGTAGCTACCTGTACTGAAAGTGGACACCTTTCGCAAGCCAAGACTTAGCTACAAGGCAAAAAGCAAGGAATGCATTAAACTCCAGAAACTTTACTGATATTAAGTAGCAGTTGTTGATGTGATGATGAGTGTGGAACTAGCTATGATCTGTATTGATCTTTAGAGACTACATAGTGTTTACAAAGTCCTGGGTTTGACTCCCATGTGGGACTCAGATGGTGACCTTTGTCCCACATGCTAATGATTTAATGATTATGAAATCTTTCTTGTTCACTACTGAGATTTGGAGAGATTTCAATCCTCTCAACTAAAAAAGGGAGGTTTTTGGAGTGGCATGGCCGTTCCCACGAGAGCCTCTAAGGGGGTTTGGGGGCGTGTTCCCTTGGGAAAAATTTTAAGATCACCTCTAAAGGATGTGAGTTTGCTTACCTGTGTTTTATCAGTCATTTGCCAAGCAGATTACACTCTTGATCAAATGACTGAATATTTGTAGGCCACAGGGATGTAACTAAGGAAAAGCTGAGCAGGCTTTTTTAATCAATTGCACCTTCAAAATTACACCATGTCTTAGTTTTCCAAAGCAATTTGAGCCAGTGGTAAGCTCTTTTTCAGCCAGGGAAATTAGCTAGCAGCGGCTGTTGGCAACTTTCTGAGGCTGCTGGCACAAATCCTTCTACTTCTTATCCATTTATAACTAGTTTGTTAATTCTCTAAACCCATTTTGTGTTCCTTATGAGTATAGAAAACCAGTGAGCTAGCCACATGAGTATTAGAGGATGCGTAACACAAATGAAAAAAAAAAGCACCTTAACTCATCAAGCATTTTTTTGAACTACTTGCAAAGTAAGACATCACTATTAAGATGCACTAAACAGTGCACCTTACGTGAAAAAAAAAGTTTTATTGACTGACGAGGCTCGAAGAGCGAAATATATTTCAAGGATTTTTCAACTTCTAGAACATTTTTATTTTTACATTTTACATTTCTTATACGTGTGTTGAATATGGTAAAGATGTGATGTCTTATTTTGCAAGTAGTTCAAGTTATTCAAACACATTCCTAGTCTCGGCATTTACAATTTTTCAAAAATCATCAAGCATTATTGCACCAATATTGTACCACAAAATGTTTGTCTGGTGATCATTTTATAATTTTTAGGTTGTTTATACCAGTGTTTTTTTTATTTACTTATTACAAAAAGGTTGACTTTAGGTTTTTCTTTTTTGTAGCCTCTTGTTTTTACTACATTCTCGGTTGCCAAGGCTGAGGAAATGGCAGATTTAATTGATGGATACTTTATGTTATTCAGTGGAAAGAAACAATCTTTAGTCTTCAAGAAGCTTGGTAAGTTGTTCAATATTCTTTTGCTCTGCATTCAGGACTTTGTTGATTGACATTTTATTTCATTTTATTGTATATTATTTTATCACAGAACTTGAATGGTCAGCAGAAACTCAGCACCGGCAATTTGACTGATATAATTATTTGGTCACAGACACCAATAATTCTTTATTGAATTTGTAGATATTGAGAGGTCCCTTCCATCCATCCCAAGTCCGGCTTCACCACAGAGTGAAAGACAAAACAGGTGACTAAATGTATATGACTTACATGTTAAAGGAATGTCAATTAAAAAAACCTATAAAATGTGCTTGTAATTGGACACCCCAGTATAACAGATGATGACACTGGTCTTATTCACAGTTAAAATATAACTATGGATAAGACCCTGAAATCGTGTACCCCAGGGAAACATAATTTCAGAGAGGGTCAAGCACAGACTATCTACAGAGGAACCACAAAAGAATGAAGTGCCGGCAAGCGAGTGTTACACATTACATGTAAAATTAATGTTTTCAGGGCCTGATCACATTACACACCTCTGTAGTTAGTCTCTATAGACAGCTCTAATATAAAGCATTTGTTGAAATCTTGTTCTTCTCTTTTACAGCCCTCCTATTTTCTCACCCACCCTGAAACAGAACACATCTACCTTAGGAAGTATAAGCTTTATTGAGAGAAAAAACTCTGTTGGCAGCTCACCAGTGCAGAAAAAAAATGGAGGTATGTTGTCATGTGGCCGCAATGTTTTGCAGAACAATGTTCATTTGATTTTTTTTAATACTTTATTTCAAATACATAACATAAAAAAATTTAACAAGCAGGGCAACAACTAACATCAAACTACATGTAGAATACAGTTTTTCACTGAAATAAAAATAAATGTCAGGCAAAAAGAAAAAAAGACTCGAGAAAAAGAATAAATAATTAGCACTAAAGCTAATGCATATAGATTTGTTTATGCGGAGTTGATGTTTAAACGTGCTGGTTATGGTGTAAATGACTTGCCAGTATTTGCAAAGGAGCAAGTAACTACTAAATGGTCATTTACATCGGTTTCACTACATCAATAAGCGATCATTTGAGTTTTTTCTTTATTTATATCACAGAGTTTGATGATTACGCAGAAATAGTTGATGAAGAACCAGACTATGCACATCCAATGGCTGGTAGGTTTGCTGTCATGTTGGGTAAAATCTCACTGAACACTATTTTTAGTGAAGGTTATCTGAAGTGATAATGGAGATGGGGTACTGCTGTCTGAACAAAACCCTTGAAATTTGTTTTCATACACTCTACTGACAACTGCCAGGTAAAATCCGTGTTGGAATGGAAATGTATAACCAGTATCTCGTAAACAGTTGAACAAATAGATTCCGTGTTTCCGTGGGTCTGTTCAGTAATAGATCACAGAGGACGCCAAAATGTGGTAAAAACATCAGTGACACACTCGCCGCAGACCAATACACATACCTGCCTTGTACCGCTTGACTGTTCGAGGATTTGTGCTAGTTTAGGCATTTTTTGAGTCTCGAACGCTATTTTTCATCTCTGCTTCTTCTTACTTTCTTTAACTTACTTGTATACAGTTTCTTTGAAAAGTTTTTCAACGTTTTTTCTTGCTCAAAGCAGAATAGTGGCGAAAACAATTTGCAAGACAGCAAGTCTCTCGTAGCGATGACACACGATGGCAACTGTTATCAAGATTTCTTGTAGTTTAGGCATTCTCAAGTAGTCGAGAGCTCTTTTTGTCTCCGGTTCTCCATTTTTCTTCTTTGTGAATACAACTGTACCTCCTGCTAAACGTTTTTTTTAAGGCTTTCACTTGCTTTAATCCAAAATAATCTCGTAAACATTTTCAAAACCGCGCGCGATGTTGAACAAAACAACAAAAAAAAAAACAAGTTTCCTCTGACGTCACCCATGTACCTAGGTACTCTAATAGATCATGGGCAATGACCAATCACAGCGTCCACGGCATTCACATCATGGTATAAATCATTATAGAACTGTTTCCCCATCTACACTGTACATCAACCTTTGCATATTATTAGTAGCGTATTATTTGCTTATTATTATTATTATTAGTGTCATGGTTCAAGTACATATATGTATTCTCAAACTGTAGTAGTTAAAAAGATCACTGATTGGAGAATCCAACCAAAAGATTTTAACTTGGCACACAAGTCCCTCCCTTGAATCAGGATTTTGGAGTGAAATTTAATAACTGTTTATGTTGGACATGACCAGTCAGATGCACTGTTTTTGTAAAAAGTACCTTGTTGAATCTTGTTACCCCTTGGTAGACAGTAGAGCTCATTATTAAACTACATTTTAACGTGACATTTATCTTTTCAATTCTTTGCTACTTTAAGTTTTTTAAGAAAAGTTTATATTTTGTTACTGTAACTATTGAGTTTGTAATAGAGTACAGTGATATTAAAATTAAATAATACAGTTTCCCCTTTGTGGCAATATTAACTAATTTTTTCTAGAGTCTCTGCTCATTTATAACTTGATGCATTTGCGTAACTGAAATCAATGGTTTTCTGGTTCTGTAATTTATAAAAAGAACTGCTAACCATAAATTATATGGTACATAGTATAGTCTAATGATCTTCAAATCCTAAGCTCTCTATTTTTAAGCATTATTGAAAAAAAAATGAGAAAAAAAGAAAACTTAATTGATAGTGGTCAGTCTTTAAAGTACTAGGATATGAAGTATCTTTAAAGATAATTGCATTAATCTCCACTACTGAGTGCAATAATAATGAAAGAATAATGAATTAAAGTGACTCTTAAACTTGCAGCTCTTGCTGCTGTACGCGTAGCAGTTGCGTTGAAGTCTTGTGGAGTACCTCTTATAACAGCCAGACGAAAACCAGGTAAAATGACTGCATTTTCAGGCTGTTAAATTAAATTTTAAAATCTGCCGTAAACTGTTGGTTGTTAATTAGTGTAAAACCGATGATGCAAATTGTCTTGTAATAAATCATTTTTTAAAAAAAAAACGTCTATTTTTTAACATTTCAAGTCTAAATTTCTCATAAAAATAAACAAATACTTAGGTGCTTGCTGTATAGACAGGCAGATTGATGAAATGTTTAAGATTAAGGATGATTTAGAAAAGGAGGACAGCCTTTTAAAGTTTAATTGATGACATTTAAGGTATTGTGTGCCACAAGGCACTTGGAGGAAAGAGGGGATAGGTGAAGATATTAAATTGATGACATTCATCTGTACATGTTGATATCAATCAAAGGTATTCCGCTGTTTCACATTTGAAACCTTCATAAATTGCAGTCGACTCCCGATAACTCGAACCTTCAAGGGAAATCGAAGAAAGTTTGAGTTATCGAGAGTTCGAGTTATCAGAAGCTTGAAGCAAATAGCCGGAAGTAAGGGAAAAACCCAGTTTTTACTGTACTGTGAACACTTTAATCACATTTAACCATAGAAATGTCAAGTTAAAATGGAACGATGCTTCTAGAATATAACTCAGAATGTAACATAACAAAGCATAGCCTAAATAGAGTATGCATTTAACTGTTTTAAGAAGCAAAGCTGTCTCACGTTAGTTTTGTGACAAACAACATTAGCCTCCTCTAGTAAGCTATATGCCCACAATATTCAAAATTCAATGTTTCGGAAGCCAGTACATTGTTTTTTTTTCCCGACTTTATAAGCGCTCAAACCATGGTTCCAGTTATCGAGGGTAAATTTATATAGAAATGATCTGAGGGTAAACAAAAATTACTTCGAGTTAGCGGGAGGTTCGAGTTATCGAGGGTAAAATTAAAGTAAATGTATGAAGGAAATCAAGGGGAAATCGATTTCGGTTCGAGTTATCGGGAGTCGACTGTATTGCTAATGATGTTATCGTTATCATTAATTAATGAACGATTGTTTATGAAAGGGTTTTTATGTTGGGGATATTTTTGAACATTAAATTTTGTTCATGCCTTTGGGTCTCGACTGGAAAAGAGATTTTGCATCTGTATGCATACGGTTCTTTTGTTAGACTAAAAAAAATGATAACCCTTTCACTGTATTTTAAAAGCATTAAAATTATCTCACTTTAGCCAAAGATTACGAGATTCCGAAAAATAGATTACGTTTGGAAACAATTATTGGACAAGGGCAGTTTGGAGATGTACATCGGGGAACCTATAACAGTTTGGTGAGTTGAAACATTTTAAGTGTGAATGATAATAACTTAATAGAAGTCACAAAGCCAGACAGCTGGACAGAACGCTTTTTTATGATAGTCCTACTATTATTTACATGATAGCTTCCACATATTAATTAAGAGCTGCATTCATTATCATTTCAAAATCAATTTAATGCTTGTATTAAATTGTTTTCTCCAAGTTTTCAGTTGCAGAGGTTTCTGGTCTGGTTAATTCTGTGTTCACTCTTGCCATCGTCGATGTCATCTTCATCGTCATTATCATTATATTAAATACTCTCACCACGGTGATATGATCGTTTTTGTCATGATTTTGATGTCTTTACCAGGATGATCCTAACTTACAAGTTGCAATCAAGTCATGTAAAAATCCAGAGTCAAGAGAGAAATTCTTGGAAGAAGCATGTAAGTGGAGCAGTCCTAGATTGCATGCTTGGTTTTCCTCTTATTTTAACGTATGAATGCTTTTTATCGGTAAATCCATCCCCGTTAATCTCCGTCATCTGTTTACACTTGATTTAGAATAGGTTTCCTGTAAGAATTGCCCCTAAAGCTTCTCGGTGAAAAGCCTTGTGTCTTCCACTGGACTGTAATGATACCATTTCTGAAATCAAAAATAGATACTAAGTGATTTTTTATTATTTTTCCAGACACAATGAAACAGTTTGACCATCCTCACATAATAAAGCTTATAGGTGTGTGTATGGATGAGGAGTTTTACATTGTAATGGAGCTGGCCGCATATGGAGAGGTAAAAAGAACTTCAAATCTGTTTCTTTGTTACACCACTTTATGACACTGGTTATTCTTTGTGTTTTGATTGTTTTTAGATGAGGTCATATCTTCAAAAGAATAGACATTCAATTAACTTGGAAACACTTCTTAGTTACATTTTCCAACTCAGCACGGCTATGTCATATCTGGAGAGCAAGAATTTCGTACACAGGTAGGCAGTAGCTTTGGCACATTAAAAACTGTTTTCTGCCACTGTACACTCTGATTTGTTCTGCATACATGTTCTGCGACTCCTGAAGAAACACTGGTAATAGTTAATTGTGCAATTTGTTTTTCTACATAGTTTTTCAAATATTCATGTAATTCACAAAACTCTTTAACAGTCCACTTTTTCCTGTAGCAGCGTTGAAGTGAACCTTGAACCTTGATGAATGCGCTTTCAGTACCCCGCAGTATAAAATATGAAAGCCTTGGATAATTCTTGATGGTAATAAACTAATTATGGCTGTTTTTGCTTCAGGGATATAGCTGCCCGTAACGTGTTAGTGTGTACTCCCAAGTGTGTTAAATTAGCAGATTTTGGTTTATCAAGATGGGTCGACGAACAGGCTTATTACAAAGGTAACTTCATTAACCCATCCAAATCCTGCAAAAAATTCCAATTTCGAAGAACGTGGGATGAACAAAATGACTTCTGATCGAGATTCCTAAAAGACCTTGACTGGTCGGGTATCTTAGCCCTCTGAGCTACAGAGTGAACTACTGACCAATCGTAGTAGAGTAAAGACTCGTGGGAGCCACCTCTGCTGCTGAGGCCACTGATTTAGTCAGGTTCATACACATACGTGTTCTGAGTAACCTGTTTCACTGATTTAGTTAAAATGGGTTTTCAATGCATGAATTTTACGTGTTCTGAGTCACCTGTTTAAACACTTTTCTTTTGACATTTTTAAAAGCAGCATCCATTTTATCCACCTGGCTAATGATTCGCCATCTCTTTTAATGTCATGGTGGAAAGTTAGAGTTACCGCTTTATCTCCACCATTACGCATTGTCTACAATACTGTCCATCTGAAACCATTTCTCAGTACTTTCCACCTTGCTTACGAACGTTGTGGCTCGTCAAACAGTAGCCTGCACGGAAGGCGTTTTTTTGCGTGCGTTTCTCCTTTGCGGAAGAAGGCGGCGGTTTTTCCTATCTTCCCTCGCCCCCTCCCCCTCGTTTTTTCGTTTCACCTCAGAAACCTTATCTCTTACTTAACGAACCACAAAGAAAAAACTCACCAAAAAACTGCCTGCTACGCAGGCTAGTTAAACTATCTCAACCCCTGAGCTCTTCTGCGCATGAAAATGCATATTCCTGTCGTAAGTTCTGCGCATACCTTGCTGAAACATTTCATTTGAAAGCTTCTTTTTACAAGTTAAGATTGGTGGTGTTCTTGACTGTTTCCTTTTCTGTTGGTTTTAAGCTTCAAAAGGGAAGCTGCCGATCAAGTGGATGGCGCCGGAATCAATCAACTTTAGAAGATTTACAATCGCTAGCGATATTTGGATGTTTGGTGAGTTGTCCTTTCTCGGATAATTACTGGGAAGGGCAAATAGTCAAGCCACGTTGGATGCAAGTGGCAGTTGTATATCCATTTTTTTTTCAAACTAGGTTACGAGTAGTTTCATATTTCCTCAGGATAATAAAGCGGGCGAAACACGCGCGAGAGAAAAATTAATGATTTTCTCTCTCCTTGCTGCGTCTTCCCTTTCTCGCTTGAGGTGATTTTCACGCAGGCTCGCGTGTTTCGCTTGCTCTACTATCCTGGGGAAAATGAGGGTCTACTCTGAGTGTACTGTTAGCCTTTAAAAAGAAGGGGGAAAAATGGTAAAAAGAAAAAGAAAAAACGAATTTTGGTTTAGCTTATATCAAGGAAAACCAGCATCAAAAAATAAAAATTGCAGCCATGTTGCATGGACAGGTATAGTAACTCCCGTATACCCCCGCTATCGTCAGCTGACCTGTGTGAAGGCTTATCAGCTGTCTCCAAACGTCTTTTTTGATCTTGCATCTCCTCATCTGATCTAAAATTTAGTCTGGTTGTACTCTTAACTTTTATTAGACTTTTAAGGTACTCAGGTGTGTTGCCATAGATACACTTATGAGCCAGCATTGCTATCTTAAAATTTACTCTATACGTAACTGGAAGCCAATGTAAATTAACAAGTGTAAGAGTAACGTGATCATATTCTGCAACATTACTTACAAGGCGAGCCGCTTAGCTGGGTGGCTGGAACACCAACCAAGAGGCTATTACAATAATCTATACGTGACATTATAACTGCTTGAACTATATATGTCATCATAACTCAATTACCTGCTAATGGATCTAATATTATACAGATGATAAATAGCAGCTTGGCACGTATTATTTATATGCACAGACATGGTGAGGTTCGTATTAAATCACGTGCCTAGGTTCCTAACAATCCTTACAGCTGGCACTTTTGCTTGGCCGACCACAATTTCAGATACATTAACCTTATCTAATTGAACTTTTATTCAATGTGGAAGTGTTTGTTTTCTTTTTTGTTTTTTAGGTGTGTGTATGTGGGAAATCCTCATGTACGGCATCAAACCTTTTCAAGGCGTTAAAAACAATGAAGTGATTGGTAAGATAGAAAATGGCGAGCGGTTACCTCTTCCACCCAACTGTCCGCCGGCTTTGTATCACCTTATGACTGAGTGCTGGTCGTATGAGCCATCAAAGAGACCAACCTTTCAAGACCTTAAGACACGACTCAGGTTGGTGACAAGAGGTCATATTTATATTTCTTATTAATTGGGCCTGTAAGGCGGATCCAGTTTATAAATTCGGTTGATTTGTCCGCCCAAAAATGAACCCTATTAATTATTAACTCAGTTTCCCAGAGGGCGTTGCGTGAGCCAGAAAGCCGGTTGATTTCTTTCTGTGTAATGTAACACATGCCATTTTGGAGGTCTAAAATTCGGATTACGATAAGAAGACTCGTCCGACGATAACAAGAACTTTGAGAATTTCCCACAATTTCATTTCATAGCCTCGTTGGCGAGAGGGTAAATAAGCGGGGAGGCTTCGAGAACGGAAAGCTTCAGCTGGAGCTTCAAATACCAACTTGAGAGAAATAGAGTACTAAGACAAGTTACTTACTAGTACAAGGTTTGGTATAAGTGAAGTACTTGATTTCAGCTGATGGAGAACTGCTGTCAGTGCTCAATAGAAGGACTAGAGCAAGAATACCAGAAATACAGTGGAACCACGCCTTACGGCCACCTCGGTAATACGGTCACCTCTTTTTTGGCCCGGCAAAATTTGGCCGTATTAACGGGTTGGCCGTATTGCCGGGGCAGGGTCAAATCTCATGACTTGAGGACCGTAATAACAATACACCATACAACGCATTCGCACTTCTTGTACAACTGTGTTCGCGTTAATAAACAACAGGAATGTAGATATCGCGTACCATAATTCTAAAACTACTTGAAACTGTCCTTAAGTACATAAAACACTTTTAAAAACTGGCTGTTAGACCTCCACAAAAACATTGTAAGTGACTATTGTAACTGTTTTTACAGTACAAAAACAAGCACAGCTTTTTAGGTCAATGAAATTGTCATGTCGAAATTTCTGACGAGTGGCTGTATTAACGGGGTGAAATTGGTGTTTTATAGTGGATTGTTTTTTCTTAAAAGCTGTTCGCTGTCTGTTCTGGCTAACTTCTTACAGTCGGTCACAAATTTCCTAGGCCCTCTCGCGTCTCGATCTCTCTCTTCTCTCTCTCTCAACCTAAGTGATAGAGTGATTTTCGTATGACCTTGAAATGAAAACGCGCGAACAAAACAAAAACAACAAACGAACGGAAATAAAGCGATTTGATTGGTTTATCGAACGGATACAAAGGCACCTGGCTTTTGGCTGGTTAAGCGAACGCTCGGCTGAAAAACCTTCATGCCCGAAGAACTTTCTAGAAATTGCTTTGACGTCATAAACCGATTGGTCAATCGAACAATATTCCATATTAATTTGGCGGGAAAACGAAGAGTCCATGTTTTGTTCTTTTCATCCATTGGCTGATAAAACAAGTAACAAACACGTACGGAAACCATTTTTCAAGGTCATACGAAAATCGCTCTAATATTATATAATTACGAAAGCCTCCCAAAAGGGTACAATGTTCAAATGAGTTATATTTCACTCTCACGTGAGATTCTGTGTCGCACAATGGTCGGCGACAAGGTTTTATGGTAGCCTGATTGTTTACAGCCGCCCCGTCCCTTCCAGATAGACTTTCGGTTATTCTAGCTTGTATTCAAACTGAAGTAGCTTGCAGCTGAGTTAACGGATATTTCCCACGCGTTAGCGTAAATGCAATAACTTTTGCATCTGAAAAGCGTGCAAGTCGCACAGTTGTACGGAGGGGGTAAAAAAAAAAACCGCTCCTACTTTTTTGCTCGTCATTGCGTGTCTCCTGCGTTTCTCCTGCTTGTCTTAAAGGAAACGGAAAGGACTGCTATGCAGGTTACCGCTAGTGATAACAGTGAGGATTGTGTATGGAACTAACTATTCGTATTTCAACTCTATCGATAATTTTCTGTTGTCCAGTGTTATAGTCCAAGAGGAAAGATTTCAACAAGATGAAAAAGTCCGAAGAGAAACTCGAAGAATACAAGCCCTTTCAATGGGTAAGGCTAGTCAGTCAGGCCTGTAATGGCTGTAGTTATAGACAGACGTACAGTCCAGGTCCTTTTCAATTTCGCTATAATAGACCAATAAGGACTACATCAAACCGCTACTGGCGAGCTTAACGCTAAAGAACCCGATGTAAGTAGTACTAGGGTATTTTTTTCGTCTATTGGTTGTTGTTGGCTCGTGGCTCACTAATAGGAACTCTCTGTTGATGCTTTGTAGGTGCAATATCAGACGCCGCAGCCCCTCCAAAGGTAAAGAAACTCAACGTGTTTTTTTATTTTATGAATTTCCTCTATGAAACACTAACTAAAAAAGCATTTGTCAGAATGATCTGATTTTGTTCTCTCCTCGCAGCCCTCTAGGCCTGGGGTCCAGCCGTCGTTCGTTCACATACCAGGAATCTCGGCCCAATCCTCCGCGGCACCGACGTTTGACAGCAGCAGAGGGTTAACAAGTCCCAGAGGTGAGTTCCTGTTTTCACTTCGCTCTGCAAACGGAACTGTATTTTCTGTAGGATTGGAAAAAGGTTTTACAAGGAGGCTTTGTTCTTTGTGTTTTGTTTCAAATTGTAGTCATCGGCCTTGTGTTTAGTATGTAACCAGAGATTATCATATGTCTTGTCAAATGCACTTTTTCCAGCTCATTTTTTAAGTCACTGGTGTTGTGTTCCTAAGAAGCCTAACACTTGCTTAATTTCCGTATTGAACACATGTTTTTGCTTCATCAGGAGCAGTCCAGTCACCACAGTACCCAGGAGACCCGATGTCGCCGTTTTCACCCAAATCGCCGACTTCCCCTAACTCCCCATCACGTACGCTGCCCAGAAACTTCAAGTCATATCACGAAGCCAGCGGTATCAACGCTCTAATGGAGCAGCCTTCTCGGTATTCTATGGGAGGTAGTCATACTCTTCCAAAGAATTATAAAAGTCCAGTGACAAGTCCGCTTGGCAGCCCGACCAAAACTCGAGACCCCCTGATCGATTTGCCGGTGAGTTGAACTAGTGCGCCTAAGAATTGTTTATATTACATACACGTGGAGCTAAAAAATCGGCGGAAATGTCTATCCACCGTTATTATCCTCAAGCAAAGTCAGCGCAAGGCTAGCTGTCAACAAGTGTGATCGGACAGTTTGGTATCGACTAATGATGGTAAAAAGGAAACTGCTCATTTAAAGGCCTCGTTGGAGCAGTGGAATCGACGCAAGACAGGCCACTCCAACACAGGAGGGTCAGTCAATTAACAAAAACAATAGGAAAGAAACTCCATTCCTAGGTAGCTGGGCTACATAACAAGGTTTGAACACGCTTTGCCCACGTTTACTACGCTTAAGGTCGCACCTGTTACAAGCAAACAAATTTTGTTAATTCCTTTTTTTGGTTTGTGTAAAGTAGATGTTCCCTTAATTTAGCGAGCGAACTTGACTTCGTTCTTTTTGTTTGTTTTTTTTTTCCACAAAGGGAAACAAAGAAGCGCAAGAAGCGCAAGAGGTTTTTCAAATGTTTAACATGTCATATGGGTTTTCTTTCAACTTTTGTTCCCAAACAGAGCGAAGTGGAGCTTAAACGTCGAGAAGAGGAAGAACGAGCACAGATAGAGTTAGAAGAACGTGAAAGGTTTCACGCGCGTCTTCGGCAACAGAGACTTGAATCAGAAGCAGATTCCAAATGGCTTCAACAAGAAGAACTTAACATTCAGTTGCCATTCTCACCACCACCGGTATGTTATTTGTTGTTATGACTCTCAGTTCTCTTTTCTCTCATTTCCAATTTTTATTCTCAGAAATTGTTGCCATAACAGCCTTAGCCAACTCCTGGCTGTCTATTACCTTATCAGTTACAGTTTCCTTAAATTTAAATTTAAATTGTTACTGAAAGGCAAACAGTTGAATCCAATCCAACAAAAGTTGTAAGTGGCATGCTCTTACTCTAGGAACATGTTTTACGAACTGAAAAATGATGATCATCTGAAGTTTTTTTCGTGCTAAAGAAATAGTGAATTTACCAGTAAGTTCTCGTGGATTTCCACGTTCTCTGTTCTCTATCATCCAGTGATTTTTTTTTGAAAGCTGGTCGCTAAGTTAAGTCAATTTCGTGTATGTTATCCAAAGATGACTGTGACAAGTGTGCATGCAGTGAATTCATGTGCTGTTCGTGATATTTTCTCTACAGGTGCAGCAGTCTCCTAAGACTCCCAGGACCCCCAAGACTCCCACCACCCCTAAGACGCCGAAAACACCCACACTCCTCTCCCCTGAGGATAATGTGTCAATAGCAGTGGAGTCATACAACCCACGGGGATCTGGGTCTTTCATTGAACAGCGCCAGCCACCAGCGGCTAAGGAATGTAAGTGATAAATTCTCTATTGCCAAGCTTTAGACAAATAGAGATTGAATTTTAACGAGTGAGGCTCGCTGGGCACTGTCAAAGACCCCTGTCTCCCAGCGCACAAACTCGTCCTTTGGGAGCCAGCCCACGGCCATAGAAGTAGAGGACGACCAAAATCAACATTAGTTGACGCTGTTGTAGACTCTAGTCAGGAGTTAGAGGCACTGATGCACGATCAATGAGTGTGGAATAATCTTGTCAAGTCTCGGAGTAGTAGTGACTGCATTTATCGTGTGAAGTAATAAACATCCAGTTGCTTGCACACAAATTTAGCTTTCTTTTCCAAGACCCAATGTAAGACAGACCCCAGAACTTCATGTTTGGCTACATCCTTCTCTCATGAATTATTGTAATGCCACTCGCTTTGACGTCACCTTAAGGTGGCCATGAAAGAAGTACTATCACAAGTCCAGTCTACTAAGAGCATGAGGCAATTTGTTTTAAAAGAAACAAAATATCTTATCTTAACGGACCCGTGAAGCAGTCCAACCCAATGTATTTGACCAGAGATTTTTGCAATTAGATCACAGCACTGCACTGGAACCGCCAAGCCATCAAGCTGCTACAATAGCAGACACGGTAAGGCTTCTTATCTAATAATCACACTGCTAGGTCAGCCCTGTGCATGCAGTGGCAAAGGCGTTACTGTATCTTTTGAGTGTTACCTGGACTTCCTATCGAGGCTTTTGTGCACTACCCGGCTTGTGAAAGTTAATAGTTTCGCATTGAAAAGGAACTCCGTTGGTTTCAATACTGTTTATGTTTCTTTTTGCTTTAGTTTTACTAAAGGCGTTTCGAGTCGTAAGCAGTATTTTTTTTCCTTGCTGTTGGGGACGAAGCATTTTTTTTATCATCTTGTTTGTCTGGAGGCCTCGTGTAGATATGTATGAAAATAGTTCCGCAACACCAATAAACACCAAATAACTCAGAGTTTTACTTCGCATCTGAATTAGGTCAGCTCAAGTGAGGAGTTGGAGTAAAACTTAATGCAAATAAGATATTTTCCTTCTTTGTTTATTTACCATTTGCTTTCTCCATTGTTCCGCAGAGTTTAGCTACAGAAAGAGAAGATGACCCCAAAGAAGACCGTTCATCTGACAGCGTGTTCGTTAACACCACTCATGTCGTACAGTCAGTTATCGGTCTTAATAATGGTCTGCCATTCGCGCGATCAGAAGATTACCCAGCCTTTGTCAAGGTACTGCACATTTGTCCCAGTTAGGTTATACAGCTAATTTTTGTAGCAAGATAGCCGTAAATTTTGAAATCCGAAGCTTTTAAAAACAATTAATTCTTAGGTGAGCTCATTGTTGGTGTCATTTATTCAGTTTGAGACTGGGCGATTTCGTCTGTTATCGTCAGGCCAATTTGCATGTTGATAGTTTATTTTCGTTTTATTATTATTGCAGACAATTGGTCTGTCCTTAAGGGATTTATTGGCGCGTGTCGATGACGAAATTCACCAACTAGATCCTTCTTCACACAAGGAGGTAAGTTTCTTCTTTTGTTTCGGGTGTAGTATAATTAACAGCAGCCTCTTCCCTTTTAGCCTGCGTGGCAGGCGTTTGAAAAGGAAGGGAAAGGGAGTTTTACGCGCGAGAGAATCGCGTTTCTCTCGCGCGTAAAACTTCCTTTCCCTTCCCTTTCAAACGCCTGCCACGCAAGCTACTTCCCTTGGGACCGCTTTAGCTGCGGTCAATCAATAGCCAAGCTTCAGCTTAACAGAAAGACTCGAAATAGGAGAAGTCTGTGCAACAGTCTTTAGCGAATTCAAGCAACTTATATCATATCTTTTGAATGGTGCTAGAATTTCCCATTAATTTCAAGCGTTACTTACTAGAGTATCCTTTCGGGCTTGTTTGCTGTTCTTTAGCGTTTTCCCTCACTTCCTTCCCACAGGTTTATCATGATAAAAGAACAATTACGATTATTGTTGTTTTTGGTCCTAAGGCCTCCTATCCATGAGTTCAAATCAAAACCAAACTTTACGGTTACTCTCATGACAGTGCAACCTAGCAAATGAAAGGCAGTTTTCGGAACAACCCCATAAATAAAACAACGTAGCACTGGTGAGTTCGTTTGCAAAGCGATTGAGAACGGAGCTGCTAAATGGCACATACAGTTCCTACCCAGACAAAGAGCACCTTGGATTTGACTCGAAGTACTGTAGTAAAAGATGTACTTGAATGTCGCAGTAATTTTCGTGCATCGTTTGACCGATTTTTCTTACAGTTAGCATAACGTTGTTTTCAGGTGGAAATGGCGCATAAGGTGCTGTCCTCTGATATGGCTGAACTGATAAACGCGATGAAGATGGCGCAGAAATACAGCACCACTACTCTGGACCAAGAATATCGTCGAGGAATGCTTTCTGCTGCCCACGTCCTGGCAGTGGATGCCAAGCATCTGTTTGATGTGGTGGACGCAGCCAGGAAACAGTCCTCTAAAATGTCGTCTACAGTTTAAACGACTGATGAGAAGTTTGTTGAATTAAGCTGGACGCCGGGAGGACACAGAGTATGGTCTGGTGCTCTAGGAAGTGGCTTGAATCTACTTTCGATCTTGTTGAACCGTCATCTTAGTCTGTTATGAGGAGGTGGCTGTTAAGTGAAATCCTTAACCGCCATTATTTGAATGAAAGCGACTATACATTGCTTTCAAGTATTTTTGTTTGTTTTTCCACGTTTTATTAAGGTATGTACAAAATTGCCAGCGACTTTGGTCTCTAGGTGTGACTTTGTCGAACGCTGAAAGACAAACGATAGTACAGAATTGTGTTGTTTGTTTGAATGCACTTGAATTCCAACTTTTCAAGGGCTGCAATTACCTATATGGAAGTTTATAAAATGACTCTCGTTAGAAGGATGAGACGACGAGGAAGGAAACTTTTGTTTGATTTGAATGGTTAAGCAAAAGCATCACGCCCGTCCCGGTAGTAATAGAAATTACTTTTGAAATTTCTTCAAAAGACGGTGTTTGGAGGTTATTGCTGGGGACTTTTTAGTGGTCCTTATTTGATAGCTAGTACACTAAAACCTCTGAAGGTTGAGTTGTTGATTAATTTAGATTGCGTTGCGCGGCTCACTCACGCCGCTAGTGGTGACGCCATCACTCGGGGAAACAGCCAATGCGAAAGCGAATAGAGAAGAATTGTATAAAAATTGCTTCTTTATGAAGTGAGTAGTTACTAATGTTTTAGTTAAAGGCTTTTGAGTTTTATGCGTAATTCCAAGGAAAGATATAGATACAATACTTGCTTGTGGGACTTGAATCCGACAAAAATATTTCCTTGTTTTTTTGTCTAAGGTGGGTGATCATAAGAATCCAGTATTATGCGTTTTTTAACTGCGGCTTGTCGACGCTTTTATAAAGTAAATGTTCGCAGTTTTTTTACTCTAGGATATGTCATTATTGAGGCTAATGATGGAGCTTTTTTGCTAGAAAAGCCGAGATTAAGGGTGAGGTTAAAGGTAATTGTAACTTATACGTAAGTTGCGTCAAAACAGGATTATATACTTCGCAATCCACTGTTGCCTTGCAAGAAGAAAAAAAAAACTTTCATATCTTAGCTTTACAGAAGACACCTTTAAAACATCATCCCTTGTTCTGGTGTCTGTCTTGTTTTAAATTACCTGTTAACTATCTGAACTGTGATATGCAGGCGTTTTTATGCGAAGATTGTAATGAAATTTTAAAATCTTTGATTGGCGTTATTAATATATAGTAATGCATAATAATAGGTATTAAATTTGTTCGGGAACAGAGTTATTAGCTATTTTTTTAAACCTATTTCAAGAGCTGTTGTTGTGCATAGTAATTTGATGTAAATAAGAATGAAATGTTCTTTAATACAACCGTCTGTACATTTTAGTACGGTACCCATTTCCCTAATTTTATGGAAAGAAAGCAATTTATGAATTGAGTTTTCTGTGTTTGAATTGTTTAACTGTCCGGGTAGAATGAAACCTTAGCTCTTGACTCTCGCAGAGTTTCTTGTGGAGAATTTTATGACAGTAGCAGTTCTCTCGGGTTGATTCGTCGTTAGATTTTAAGACTTAAGTCCTCTGTTTTTGAGATATCACTTTTGAAAGTTACCAAGGTTGGGAGACATACTGCAGGGACGATTTTCGGTTGCAATAGTTAAATGATCCTTTGTGTCTACTGTGGTGGGCACGTAACGAAATCAATAGTGCCAGCATATGCATTTCATATGCAGACCTTCCCAGCAAAGGTATTTCTGGTCATAAGCCTAGTTACACTCCCAACACAGTTCCCAAGGGAGATAATCTTACCACATCCACTGGCGAACTTGCGAACCTGGTAAAGGAAGCCCTCAGACGCCCCAGAAAGTAAAATAAATTTTCCGTCAGGAATTGAATTCTCCTATCCGTCGCGGAGACTGAATGCATTCAGAAGTGTTAATAACAGTCAAGTGATCACTTGAGTTGGTCTCAAATGGATTTTTCTTCATTTGAAATAAAACCGGACTTCAACAAATCAGAGTGAACAGCCAAACTGGAGATTTTAGCTTTGATATAACCGGCAGCAGAACCCGGGCCATCATCTAGAAAGACAACTATCGACTTCCCCTCTGATCTACATTTCTTAACCAGCGGCTTTAAAATTTTAGTAAATAAATAGGGCGCGGAACTAATGCCAAAGGGCAAGACTGAAAAGAAATGAAGCAATCTAGTGTGACTGGATGAAAAAGTCCAAGAAAAGGAGAGCTATTGCCTATGCCCTGGAAAAATCTCTACGTGGTGGTAGCCGGATTTCAAAGCAAAGGAAAACATGAAATCCCCAGTATCCAGCACTTCCCTTACAATAGACTTGTCTTCGCATCTGAATTTGGACTTAAAGCCGGGAAAGAGATACCGGTACTGGTTGACATGACGAAGATCTAATATCAAGCGTTTTTTTCCCGACTTCTGAATGGAAACGGATAATGGGTTTAACACTGCTGGAGGCGCTGAATACCTCCGCAATAAACTCCAAACTTAAAAGCTCACTAATAGCACTCTCAACAAAAGCGGAGTCTTGAACTGCTGACTTATTGTTCTTCGCAACAAAAGGTGGAGGAATTTGAAGTAGTGGCATTTATAACCAAATTCAATGGTGTCAATAATGAAGCGAGGCGCGTCAAGGTCTTTCCAGTACTGAATGAATTGATTTGCGCAATCTGCCTCTAACAGAAACAGCAACATCGTTCGATTTAAACTCGTAAGACAACAATGAATCCTCCGAAAAGGGGGGCTCAGAACCCAACTTTGGCAAAGCCTCCGATGCTAAATTTACAAGATGCAAAATAAACCACGTAACAAGACCTTTAGAGCGGAGGGGCCATTGCATGACCTCAGCAAAGATAAGCAGTTTTCTCTAAACTTATGTTTTACTTTTAGTCTTCCTTCCTTCCTTCCTTTGGTTCTTTGTTAAGATCAACTTTGACATTTAATTATGACTGTTTTTACTTAATTTCTCCTTTCTTGTTGCCGGTTCCCTCCGTATCACTTTCGCAAAAATGCACAAAAATGTGCATTGCCTAAAAACGTGGTGATGGGCAAGTAACTATGGTTTTTGTTCAAATTTTCCAGTAAAATGTTAATCTTTTATTGCCTGCTCGTGTTTGATAGAATCACTCCGGGTTTATCACACATATTTCGCATGGTTTTTTTTGTCCTGCACAAATAAAGAATTATGCATCAGTCCCTTTTCAACAGAGAAGGGTGTCACAAGAACTACAAGGATCGTGTTTAGGAAGTTTCAATTGTATTTTATTGAGCTGCTGTTCTCTACATGCAAAATTAAATGTAAAACTAATGATGCCTAGAAAATGCTTAAAACCACACTGAATCTACTTTCGAACATATGATGTTGGTAGAAATGATGGGCTATATTCGCAGAGGGTCGTGAAGGGTAAAATGGGAACTGGGATTATTAGCCACTGGGAATGGGATGAACAATTATAAAATGGGAGGTGGGATTTCTTTTCTTCAGTGGTCTTTGCTCCAATATTTTGAAATAGAAAAATAAAATTTCGTAGCAATAGACCTTGCACTCCTCAGTAGAGACCTCGTATTTTTTCTTCTACGAAACGTCTCGGAGCAGCGAGTCAGACGAGGATTGTGCAGATGAAAGATTTTCATATGGTTATATATTAAGGGCAGGTTATTTTTTTTCAGTCCAGGTGAAGGCATGCATTCAGTGCTTTTAATTTAATGAACTGTAATGGGGGATTTGGTAACTGGGATTTTGTCAAAAATAAAATATTTGACATTGTTTCTTGCTATTTATTTTCCACAGCATGCATTCCGGGAATGAACTAACCACAAATAAAAAACATTGTTTCTTGAATATATTGTATGCATTGTTTGAAATTGTTTGAAAGTGCAAAATACATACGTCCAAACCCATTCGACATGTCATTGGTAAACAGTAGATGGCAAATGTTTAAAATGGAAAAAAAAGATTATTAAGTGAAGGGTCAATTTTGCTGCTCAATTAAAACTTTGAAGCAAAAACTCTACCATGGTCTTAACCTAACTAAACTTCGTTTCCACCTAGCTGTACATTAGGAGCGTATATCTCCTGTAGGTCTCCTGTGGTTTTTGTAATAAAAAAAAGCGATAGCGAAAGCAAATATCGCTTTATCTTGGATGTGGATAACCATACTGTTTCAAAGATCCCTTTATTTCAAGTCATATATAAGAGGCACAAGAAGGAATCTTTTGTACGATGTGCAGACATCCGGAACTAAGTAGAAAATAGTAAGCACACTGGGCTGTTTTAAATCAAATTCGAGATACTTTCTCAGTACGTTTCAACATAGTTAATTGAGTGGAATGGTTATGAAACCCGTCAGACTCCTTTGTTATATGTTTTTGTGGACCTGAAAGTGCACAACGTTCAAAAGAATTCCTATCATTTTGATCGTATTGACCAATAAGAACGTTGCATTAATTTATTCCGTAACAATTTGCCAACAGAAAACAAAGGATTGTGCACTTTCACGGTGCTTTGAACATAAACTGCAGCACTGTTGTTTTTATCATTGACGTTTGCCGCTTTTCATAACCAGTCTCCTCTAATAACTATGGTTTCAAATGATCAATAATCTATATATAAAAAAAGAAGCAAAATCTTTTGAGATTCCTTGTTATTGAGTTCAGATTTCCACACCTCTGTCGCGGTGGGTGCATGTTTTTTTGTTTTCGTTTTCTTTGTTCTAGTAACACGGCCAAAGTTTAAACCCTCAGGGAATTTACAACGTTCATTTTCACGATAGTGGCATCAGCTACATCACTATACTGGAACCCACGATTATCTTTTCCTTGACGCTGGGCTATCGGTGTCGGCATTAACGTTCGTCTTCGCTCTCGCCGATTTTGACCTCTACCTCTCTTCCTGGGCTCTATTTCTCCCTTACTGTCCAAGTATTTATCAGCAATAGTTAACCAGTCGACTACTGAATAGATTAGATCCCATTCCTTTGTGGACGCATCCCCAAGAACGCCATCTTCCACCGTCGGATTCTTGCTCTTTTGCCTTCGCTGCATCGGAATGGTCGAACCATTAAGGTTGCTTTCCTCGGAAGCGATTTCTACGTTGCGGCAGCGACAACGAGTTTTGTAAAGAATCTTGAAGACGTGTATCAGCTTAGAGAAGAGATTGATGGGTATTGGGTTGGACGTTTCACGTTCCATGTTTCTAATCAGCTTGGCTCGTCCAAACTTCCACTCGACGTCAGACTGTTCTTGAAGTCTCTGGTAAGTATCACTCATCATGGCGATTAGAAGGTTGATGAGAACAATGATAATTAGGACATTATACATGCCAAACACAAACTTTGTCATTATGCGGATGTGTGATGGTCTGTTAGTAGAAAAGGACGATTGAGTCGCCAGACCGAACAGACCAAAGAACAAAAGCTCACCAACTTTAAAGAAACTTGGCGACGTGCTCACTGTTTTGTACGAGTTATCATCTTCATCGAGATCATCGAGGGGCTAAAAATAATAAAAAAGACCGGAAAAGAAATGATTTATTTATTGATTGGTTCATTGCCTAGGAGGTAATGCCCTTTATGGGAAATACAGGCATGCCCTACTGTGAAAAGTATGGTCTTTAAGCACTTTATCGTGTAGCCTGGGTAGCATGGCGGTTTTGTCGGGAGAACTACTGAGTGGCAAAGCGGCAAAAACGCGCGCAAAGCGCACGCGAACGAGCGGCGAAGCCTATTTCCTTTTCGTAAACGGTCGCTACCATTTTAACAGTCTATGCCACCATCGGTAACCAAGCTTTTACTCCTGATGGATGTATTATATTCCCTGGATTAAGTTACAATAAGGCAAATAATACGTTTTTGAATAGTCTAAGAAGTTGAAGCCGAAGTTGAATTTACGTTAAAAATAATGGAAAGGACTAGGGTGATCTGTTATTGATATAACAGTTAAGAAAGACAGCGTCCGTTTACGAAAGGGACAATTGTAGCGGCGAAGCCCCAATCTCCTGGCGGTTTCTCTGCCCTCGCCCACCTTTATTACTTTGCGCGCCCAAGCAAAACCACCATGCTACGCACGCTATTTATTGTGGGATAAGGTATCGAAATAAGAAGAGCGTTTGGGTCTAGAACATGGTATAATTTTTTAGGAAACCGTATTAATTGGTTGCAGATTTAGTTTAAACTAGGGAAACCGGAAATTGACACTCAGAAAATAAAATGGGCAAATTTAGATTTACCCGCTACTCAATCAGCTTTTGTTTTGGCTGGACTTCGCAGGTGACCTCAGTAGTTTCTGTAAAGTAGTAACTCTAGCATAGGGTGGGATTTTAGGAGTTTAGTCTAGTATAGGGTAGCAAAAGTCAGTTCAACTAAGGGGTACAGGCTTAGGGTTCCAGGTTTGTCCAGAGGCAGATCCTTACCCTAAAACTCCTTATGTACCCCACCTTAGTACCCCTCTGGGTTTAAATGGAAATACTAAACAACAAATTTAAAATTTCCATTCAAACGAAATCAGTGATTAACAGAAGAAACTGGACGATAGTAATGGACTGTAGAGGCATGAATCGATTGAGTCAAGTTAATGATCCCTATAATTTCCCCAAAAGGGTTCACTTTCATGTAACATTTTACCTTAAGAACTGCGAGTAGCTGCAGCAAAAAGCTGGAGAAGAAAATCACAAATATTAGAAGAAACCGGGCAACATCCACAATAAGATGACCAATGATGACGCCCCATGGTCCAAACAAACGATGAATGGACAGGAATTCAAGAAGTTGAAGTACGCTTAACATAAGTGCTGCCCCAAGAAATTGGTTTCTCGCGAACGCAATGCCGAGTCTGGGATTCTTGTCGAAGCCCACGGCGACGATTCTTAGCAGCTCGGCGACCAGCACCAGTAAGATCACAATTATGGGGAACCATCCAGGTCCGCTTCGTTCTTTCTCACTGGTGATCTCCGCGAGCAGCATCCCAATGATCCAAATATAAAGAAAGTAATCGTACCAATGAGGAGCAAGCATAGTGCCTGAGTATTTCCAAGGAACCACTGCGGTCAAACACAAAAGGAGAATGAGATATAGGTGTGAAATAAGTCGACAAATGAACCTTATGACGGGAATCTGGCGATGTCTGTTCTTGAACGGTAGAGACAGATACACCCAGAAAGGTGGAAAGAGAAGTGCAACAAGAAACAATAACATTAGTTTCCAGTCTTCCCACTTAAGCTCGCCAAACCAGATTTGCGACACGTACTGCTGGACCAATGGGTGTGACACGCACTGCTTCAGCTCGCATTCGATGAGGAAATCAAGAAACGCCACGTTTCTTTCATCAATTGAATTAAGTACTGCCCCAGAATTCTCTACGCATGATATGCTTATTAGGTCTTTTGCCATTGACTCGCAGAAACTGCTTGCCATGTCCAGGTCAGTTGCGAGCTCCTTGTTTTTGGAAATCTCGATGCGGTAATGACGCGAAAGGAACGACGACATGTGTACTGGAGCGGGAGCACTGGGAACAAGCAAAAACACAAAGAATTGAACCAATTCATCACACAATATAATATTAAAAGTCAATCAATCAATCAGACTTTATTTAACGAGAGTGACACGTAATACTGAGATCGTAATAGTGGAAAAAGCTGACACTAATAAACTTGTGGTCCTCACCTATGGAATTGTGTAACTTACAATAAATTATAAGCATAGATAAGTATAAGTGGATAAGGCTGGCAACTACATATATACAAATAGAATCCCCCAGTAAGTCTAAAAACTACAATTTTTGAAACAACAGCAGCTGCGTGTACCTCTCTTGAAACGACAGAAAATGTCTGTATAAACTAGAAGTTCTTAATCTTAGAGGCAAGCTATTTGCTTGCCGTTACAGAAAAAGAGCGGCCGACCTCTCTCTCCCTCGCATAACGAGAATGAATGAAAATAATTTAAAACATGATAGTCAAAGTTATGCCGGCATATTTTTTCCGTTTCAATGTTAGTTTTGCCCAAGAAAACCTGGAAACACTTGTTTGTTATAACTTATTATCAATTATATTTTTCTGTTGTTGCATGTGTTTTGAAGAGCTTAGTCTTTTTTCTTCCTGATCTACTGCTACTCTAAATTAAGTACAGTGAAACCTTCGGGACCTTCCCAAGCGTCCGCTTAATAAGGGTTGTAAAAATTGCGCAAATATTTGTTAACGATCAACATTCAACGGTTACTCTGTACTGTTATAAAGTTGCATGTTGTTAAAGAAGCTATCCAGAGTTCAAGTTCGTTACCCTTCATTACCAACTTTAATTTGTTTGTAAATGCAAAAACATTAACTGACTTCAGTGCGTATTTCAAGGATGTAATCCAATACTACTATTGTCAGTTAAGTCCGGTGTCCGCTTAATAGAGATGTTTAACAAGAGAAATTAGCCACGAGGTGTCCGCTGAATAGGGGTTCGTTATAAAGGGAAATAGCAGTTGTTCGTTTCGGGACCAGGCTTAGTGTCCGCTAAATAGAGGTGTCCGCTTAACCCATTCGCTCCTAGAGATTTTGCCGGAAAACGCGTTTTGAAGCTAGTCGAGTGGTTTTCTGGTCACTGTCGTGCTATAAAGAGGTAAAACGTACCACAAACCGGCTTACAGGTCGTACACTTGGCGGCCTTCTGATCCAGATGCAAAGATGTTTAACAAAATTTCGAGGGTTGGGTTTAAAATGACACAGCAGTCTTGACTTTTACTTTTCGCTTTCTCTCCTCCTTCTTTTTCGCTTTTCTTGCCTCATTTTTTTTTTGTCTTGCTGGGCATTTAGTAGGCTTCATTTTGGTGGGAAAGTTTTTAGGAAAGCTGTTAGGATGTTAGGATTAGGTGAAAAAGGTAGGTGGGTAATGGAACAAGATTTTCATGGAGATTTTCAGGTCCTTTCGTGGTTTTTGTTTCCTTGACTGAATTGTGCTCATTCTGGTATGGTTTGAAAGATCTCTTCACTCTGCACAAGTTAGCGAAGAAAGTTGTCCTTGACCGTTAAAACTGATGACGTCACAAAGGGTAGAAAGGACCTGGATCCGCACGGGCGGTTACGGGCGGTTCAGGGGCGAATGGGTTAATAGAGGTTTCACTGTATTTCCGTTACACAAAAACCTTGTAATCAAAACGAGCTTGTTCACCAGGAGGTTCTTGCAAAAACAAGAGCTTAGAGACACGACCGGTATTTTGGGCGTCTTGTAATACTTGTTCTATATTCCTGACGTTGGCAAATATCTTCTTTTTATTGGCTTTAATGTTTTATGAAGCTTATAGCTTGATATAACAGGAGGATGGTCCTTGATTTTCAAATTATTTGATAGCTTAAAAGTTTGCTGTCTGAATCTTATTTATTTAGCTTTAATTCGATCAAAGATACTATCAAATTTTGAGAGCAGCTTATTTTGTGAGACACAAAACCCTCTATGAGGTTTCTCACTGAATCAAAAGCAAAAGTGACACACAATGGAGTGTAGGCAGAAAGAGTTTTTATAGAAACAAGGAGGTAGACCGGGTGGTTCAGTGACGAGAGCACTCGCTTTTAATTAATTGTTGTGGTTGTTGTTTGTTGAAGTGTGCAGCTACTGCTCCGAGAGGTTTTTTTCGGGTACTCCGGTTTCCCCCTCTCCTCAAAAACCAACTCGATCTAGAAAGTGTCTTTGATTAGTTCTTCTCAAACTCATTAATAATTCATTAAGAAAATACAAAGGAAATTAATGTTTAATGAGTGTTTGGAAATCGGATGAAACACTGTTTAGTATTTGCATCCTTAATTTCTCCTTCAAAAATGATTTTGTTTGAGAAGAAATATCAAACATTCGACACAGTGTTTCATCACCAGATGAAACACCTCGAAGTTCGTCAAAAATACTCCGCTGCGCGTCGTATTTTCAACTCTCTTCTCGGTGTTTCATCTGGTGATGAAACACTGCATCTCATGTTTGATATATTACGAGACACTTCAAGGATCTTCAAGGGCCATAGGTTTATAGGTTATTAGAACTGTCGTGTGTTACACTCTGTTATTAACGTTAAGTTGGTTTTTTTAATACTAACCTTAGGATAAAGTTCATCAAAGGCCTTTGATTACACGTGCGGGAACATGTGACAAGGTCAACCAAAAACTGCGTACAACAAAAATAACAACAAAAACAGAATAAATACAAATCAAGCACTAGTTAGTGTAAACGTAAGTTAGAATTTAACTTTATTCAGTTGCAAATTACTTTACATGATTTAAATAGTTGACATTACGTATACCTTTCTGTTGCTCAAAAGTCTCTCGTGATTAAGCTTTTGAGTTAGCAGGAAATCCAACACTTCAATATGACGTTCTTTAGCAGCATTACAGATTGCCACATCTTCAGACTAAAAGAACAACAAAAGAACTCAAAACGGAGCTTGGATTCTCATGGTCCGCTTTATCAACTTGAAATTTGGCTGGTATCTCTTTTATAAAAATTCAAATACACGTCAGTTTAAACATTTGCAAAAGAAAAGGAACTTTTTGACAAATGATAAAGAACCGGTATCATGCAGGTATTTGAATCAGTTCTTTTCTCACCAGTATTATGGATACAGATGCAATTCTACTCTTAAGGTCCTCATTTTTTAGAACCTGCAAATTTTTATAACGGGCTGTTTTAGAGCGACACTTTGAAAATTTTACAATTTATAATACGAAGAACGGACACAAACTCTGAAGGAGAGGCGAACGATGGAAATCTTGGGGCAAAGAGATTTCTCTTAGCACTCAGAGCAGATGTAATCTCGAAGAAAGGCCACATCATTAGGCAAACCTCGTTTTCGATTAACGGGGAAGCTCCATACTCCATTAGCAGTTTCACTACTGCTTGATAGCCAGCTGCAGCGGCAATGTGAAGAGCGGTGTTGCCCATCTGATAAACAGGAGAAAAACACAGCTGTGTTGGTGAGTCAGGCTCGTTTGTTCTAAGATAATAAACAAGTCGAGCTGGCAAATGCAACGGCTATATGCGCGCCCAAATTCCCCCTTCCCCTTCCTTCCCCTTTTAACGCTTGCCACGTAGGCTAGCTATACATGTATGCAGCAAAGGAAGCCATTCTAAGTGTGGTGATGTCAGTTACAGCGCAATAGGATACAATACTTAAACAAGCAACTGTGGTTTGCAAGTCATCTAATTAGCTTGGTGCTTTCATCATTTTCTGTCTTTGGACACTTTCTTGCCTCAAGGTAACTTTACAAAGTTAACTTTTTAAGTTTTCTCAGGTAAAACGCGACAAAAATCTTGCGAATCATAGGGGAAAAACGGCTTACTTTGCTGGTATCACTTACATTGTCCTTGGCGTCAATTTCAGCGCCTTGTCCAATCATGATCGTGAGCAGATCTTTGTGTCCATTGGCTGAAGCCAAGTGCAGGGGTGTACGTCCGTCTTTATCCACTTGGTGTAGTAATAAAGTAGCTTTACTTATTAAAGTGCTGGCTACTTCAATGTGACCTTCGAAGGCTGCTACATGGAGGGCTGTACGACCCTGGTAACAAAACAAGGACAACCGTTTTACAAATTTTAGCGGAATATCAAGGGTGCCTTGATAAACGGGGTCATCTCCTCATCCTTATCATTACATGCCAATATTTCATCAATTACGGGAGGATAGGAGTGGTGATTTCGATCGAAAACGTCCAAGCTCTCAGGTAGGATTTTTTGCGAGCGAAGGGTAAGTGATCAAGGAAAAAAACTTACAGCACTATGTGATGTATTTTCTAAACGCGGAACCAAACAGAGTCATTGCAACTAGTTGCTCTGGCGTGTGAGTGTCTTTTTTTTATTTATTTATCGATTTCTAACCGGGGATAGATTTTGCCTACGACGCAGGCTAAAAGCAGCAGTCGATACCATGATCGCCGCTTGATGAGGACAAGGTGAAACGAACTATCAGAAACAAAGCAACTATCGACTGATTTACATGTTTTTCTTATATGGCATGATATCATAGCAAGATCAATGACATCTAACTGTGCTTTAGATCTTTCCACTCAACTTACCATCTTTAAAGTGACAGCGTCAATCCGTACACCAGGATGGTTAGTAAGGACTCTTACCAAGGTATTGTCACCATTTTGAGAAGAAAGGTGAAGTGGCGTAAAACCATACTAACAGAAAATGAAAGAATCTATAAAAACGATTTTTCCAATAATGTGCAAAGATAAAAATGTCATCAAAAGAATAACTGTAACACAGCTAATCTTGACCGGCTAACCGAATCATAATACAAAGGTATGGTTTTATCTACGGTGTTGATTGACCACCGTAGAGGGATTGAAAAGCTGACGTTTTAAGCGCTAACCCTTCATTAGAGCGAATCAGGAGAATGCAGGTTGTGTTTGGTTTATATACGGAGGGCGGAGCTACATTTTCAAATGAAAAACAAGAATAAGTAGGCTGGATAAAAAGCATTCGTGTATTCTCGGGGCGGGTAAGTGTCAATTTAAAAGATACCGGGTAGGAGAAGTGGAAGCGGAGCACCATGGGAACGAGGTTGAGTAAGATTTAACTTAAGATTTTTGCAGTTTTACACTTGGCACTTTTTGTATTTCACTCGCCCATCTACCAAACACTAGATTTTCTTGAGAAACTACCCTTCCTTTAGCTGGATCATAACATGACATGACATGACATGAATAACCGGAACAAAGTTAATTAGACTTCTTCTGGCAACATAACTTGAAATGAATTATCCATTCTTTCAGAAAGTTTACTTACGTCCTCTTCCTCCTCCTCCTGTTCCTCTCCATTAGCAGGTTTCTTGTAAAAAAAGAAGATAAACATTTGGGTGTGAAATATCCGTCTGAAAGAAAGGACCTCCCACATGTATCCATATAAACACATTAATAAACAGAACAACTTTGTTAGTTTCTTACCTCGCTAACAAATGTGGCCGATTTAGGGGCTCTGGAGAGAAATTCTTGAACAATATCCGTTTGACCAAATAAGGCGGCAACATGAATAGCTGTCATTCCATTCTGAGATGAGCGAGACAAATAAATCTAGTTTCAATTGAACGCTTTTCAATATATTTAGCCTGTGTACAGACGCCCCCTTCCTGAGGGAGGGCGGACGTCTGTACACAAGCTACAATATATTTTGTGTTCACCAAACATGGCATTTTTCGCAAGAAATGGGCTTTTATAGGTAAATTCGAACAGGTTTCCGCTAAAACAGCCTTTGTCTTTGAGATTGGTACAACTGTAATCTCGGAATCGTAAGTTATAAGCGACAAAGCACTGAATCCGCGTCAGTTTTTAGAACAAACTCTATTGTAAAATTTACGGATAAAGAAACAGTTTCTTTAAAAATAGGGAAAAAAACCTTTTGCGGACATGCTCCACGCTGACAATACAATTTAATTTTAAAACTACCTCCGTGAAAAGTAAACGCTTACAAATGCATTCATCCCTCATCCTTACCTTCACACTGACTTGTTCAATAGGAGTCTTTCCCCATAGCATGTCAATAACCTTAAGTTGTCCAAACTTGGCGGCTAAATGCAGTACGCTCATTCCTTCCTATAGGCAAAAAAGTGGACAAGTAATTCATCGTTTTCGTTTGTTCAGCACACAGGAAGCTTACGATCTTGCTTACCTCTGTAGTCTGCAGGACGTGTGTCAAATGTACAGAATCTATATGGCCAAACTGAGTCGATTATCAAAATATACTTAGGCTGCAGTGCTAAGCAAACCGGGTTTTAATTATCTTCGTTTACCGTTGCAACTTGCGTTCTGAATTAAATAACCTACGCTTACATAGTCCTTGACATTTTCTTCGTCCTACTATACCCTCGAGTTGAAAATTAGCCATCTTTATTTTGGCATATCTATGCTGATTTTATCAGCTTGCAAAGTGCCTGAAAAACGAAGTTGGAAAATGGCCAAGCTCGTCATCAGTTTGCCGATCCCTCAGTGGCGTGTAAGCGAATAGAGTGCGTCGTCGTCTAACTAAGTACTACGCGTCACATTTTAACCTTTTAGCCTGATACTAGAGGAATGGTATTTATTTGATGTATGATGAAATCAGTCTTACCGAGTCTTCCTCAGTAGGTGAAGCACCATTCACAAGCAAAAACTCCACCATTTCCTTGTGACCACCTCTAGCTGCTAGAAGAAGGGGTTTGCAAAAAACTCCCTGGGAATAAAAAAGGAATGAATGAATATATAACTGGCCCCAGGCCCCAGTTGTTCAATCGTTGGTTTAGTGCTGTTATCCAATGGATAAATCTCTATCCAGTGAATAACACAATTGGTTTCCCTAATACTTATCCACTGGATATAGTGATTTATCTGGTGGATAGCGCTATCCATCTTTGGAACAACTGGGGACTAATTTGCTTAGCATCTTTTCCGCAAACGTGAAAGACATAAGTTGAAGAGAATTCAGAGATTTCAGTAGTTTCTTTTAGTGCTCACAGACTTCACACAAGGATGGTTAAAATTGCCGATATAGAAGTTGTAGGCTTGTACTTGTTTTATTAAAAAAGCATCTTGAATTCTGGAGCGATCACGGTCAGAAAACATTACATCAATTTTTTACCATATATTGTAATTAAACTAATTTAAAAGAAACCAGACTTGTCATTTCGTTGTCTTAAGAATAAGAATCTAAACCTTATCAGCTGAACATTTTGCAAAGTCAAGTTCCACCAGTTTCCTGACGACTTTGATGCTCCCTTTGGAGGCGGCAATTTGTAGTACGTTCAATCCCTCCTGAAGAAATCAAAGAAAATCTTACATCAGTGACGATAATAAGCTCACATAATTTCGCATAACGGTAACTTATATGGGATAGAAAAAGTCCTCCTAGTACGCTCAAACATTTTATAAACGTATCCACCGTCCAACAAATACATGAGTAAATCTCAGGGGTAGCCGATATCAACTGATTGGAACACAGCGTCTCGCTCTTTTTAAATTCTTCTTCTTTTTTAAAAAAGGCGATATTTATATGTTAAGCGAACAGAAGAATTTTAAACAGGTGCAGGGAATACGCATGAAGAAAAAACGGTGTCGATTACCGACATTAATTTACAGGGTATGCCTCGGAATTTTGTTCGTGATGCACGAGTATCGCCATCTTTAAAGTGTCTTGTTGGTTTCAACCTGGCGAACGTTTCGATTTGCGCTACCTATATAGTCCTTTTGGTGGGAGACATCCTACAGAACCCAGGACCAGTTAAAGATCCTTGTCTTGTTTGCTCGAGGGGTTGTCGCAAGGCCCTGAAAGCCATTCAGTGTGATATATGCGATCAATGGTTTCACGCCAAGTGTATTGGCATGAAGGCGTTAGGGTGTAATCAACTTTGCGATTGACGAAAGCTTGGCAATGCTTAAAATGCTTATTTCCTGGTTTTGATACACCAGGTTGTTGCTCTCGTAAAGGATTTAATGCACGGCACGAGAGGCAGGATAAAAAAATCCTAAGTTAAAGAAGAGAGGAATGAAATTCGCTGGTATCAATATTGTAACCTTGCAGTGCAGATGTGGACGTATTATTGGAGAGGGCGAACTTGGACCGTCTTGGAGTGACCGAATCGCACTTAGATAGCACTATATCTGACAGTAATATATGTCCTGATGGCTATGCATGTTGCAGAAAAGATAGAAACCGTAAGGGTGGTGGATGCGCATTATTTGTTACGAACAAATGGCCTAGCAAACGAAGAACTAGTCTGCTACACAGCCGTTTTTAGCGTCGTTGCGTAACGACACTAAAAACGGCTGTGTAGCAGATTAACGAAGAACCGATCTGGAATCTGACTCGCTGGAAATGGTGGACGTGGAGATTTGTCCCTACCAGGCTAAAAACACAATATGCGCCGTAATGTATAAGGCCCCAAGTATGGATCTGGACAAATTCATATCTGGATTAGAACGAGAATTTCTTGAAAGACTGAGTGATGAAGAACAAAAGGACTGGGTCCTTATGGGCGACTTCAACGCGAATGTCATTTCTCCGAAGCCGTGTAAATACACCAGGAAATTACTGCAAACAACACGACTACATGGTTTTACTCAACTTAAAGGTCCAACTTGTATGACAGAACAGTGCATCCACTGCTATTGATTTGATTTTTGTCAACAACCTACAACGTTTTGTTTCGTACGGAGTTCAAGAATTCAGAGCAAGTGATCACTCCGTTGTTTTTGCCATTAAGAAAGGCGGCACCTTTAAAGCTCTCCTGAAGTGAGAGGAGTAAGATCCTTCAAGCGTTACAGCAAAGAACAATTTATAAAGGACATTGCAGCGCTATTCCCTGGAGTATTTTGGAATCTTTCGATGATGTTAATGATGCCTCGTTCCAGACCTTTTGTTTGACTGCTCGCGTGTACTTGAATACGAAAAAATACGGACTGTTTTGCCGTCTAGTGTGATGTCAGAGAACCCAGCTAGGACTTGCAACAGGTTGGATATAAGACTGTGGAGGAGATAATAAGATCTCATCATCCGAAGCACTCAATTCGCTACAATGGATCCCTCCGGCTGGACGACGTTTTGCTCACCAATGCTCAGCGGTTCAAAATGCTATTGAAGGGGAAATGCCAGAGCACCTAGAGACTTTTACAATAACCTTAAGAGACTTGCATGGACATAACACAAGAAACAGTTACTTACCTAGAATTCAAAAACGAAAAAGGAATGGGGCAAAAGAACAACTTACTATAGGTACATTAGTGACAGGTCAACTCTTCTGAATTTTTTAAGGAAACCTATTACTTGCAATATTTTTAAACGGGACCTAAAAAAGTTTTTAACAACCAAATATTGTAGTTTGTAAATTTTCAGTTTATCCTTTTAGTCCTTAGCCTTGTTTTTTTCAATAGTTAAATCTTAAATATTACTTTTTTGCCTTTTTTAGTCGTCTAGCCTTCTTAGCCTTTCAACTTTATAACCACTAGTTTTTTAGACTTGATTGTTGTTAGTAGTTTTAATATTATTTAATCCTAGTCAAAGGACCTCCTTGAAAACCACTTTATGTGATGGGAGTTTCCTCTCTAAAGCCTTATCAGGGACGGTTACGGAGTTGAACAAATGTCACGATCTTAGCGAATCTAACGAGTAAGGTATGTTTGCCTTGGGAGTCCAACATTGGCTTGCATTACGATATTATTATAAGCTGGTTGGCTATAGACAAAATGTACGTGAAGTTAATTCAGTTAATTTGTGAAGGCCTCTTACTCACCACGCGATCAAGATAAACAAAGTGATAGTAGGTTGTCTGAAAATTTATTTGTAATACGAACTGCTACCTGTAAGTTTATAATCAGGTTTTATCACCGCCAATAACAAAGGAAAGCAAAATTTGACCATGGATAAAATTCTGCCAGAACATACACGATCTACTGATGGGCAGTTAGAAAATCAAAGACGCTTTTAATCACGATTTTATCTTTGTCTTTAACATTTGCATTCATTACAGGTTTTTTTTCCTTCGAGAAATCAAATCAAGTTTGATATAACTTGATATAAACTCTGTGAATACTGTATGGACAAAGCATGTAGTTAATGACTGTTTGTTTAAAATCCAACCCAGTACGGCTTACCGCGTTTATTTGAGTCATAGTGCTTGGCTGGACTTTGAAAAACAGTTCCACTACTTCATCATGATCCTTAGCGGCAGCGTAATGTACAGGGATCATGTCTTCCTGTTGGAAGACACATACATAACTATTCAGTACAATATACATTCAACAATTGCACAGGCACGGGTACCAGTTGACCTTACGCGTTTAAATGCTACAAGTTCATAGCCTTTTCTTTTCTTGCCAAACCTTGTCCCCAAAATAAAGTAATGATGATCAGAAAAGTCGAAGCCAAACTGAAGCAAGGACATTCCTCTTCAGGATGTAAACTCCACAGAATATCTACCTTCATGGCCTTCACTAATGGAAACTTTTCGAAACAATACTAAATATAGCCTGGTACCTAAGTGACCGACGCTGTTATAAGAATTTGAAAGTGCCATGTACGAATGGGTAATATTTCTTACATTCATCAGTTTCGTCTTTTGTTGTTTGTTTGTTTTGTCGTGGATTTTTCCTATTTCTCCATTTTCAGAGCAAAGCCCAAGCCCTTCTTAACAAGGCTCAACATATCTCATGGTGGGAAGGGAGATCCATGAGTCATACTTACACTGTCTCCGACACTAGCATCAGCTCTAAGATCCAGAAGAACCCTACAAACGTCAGTCCTACCGCTCTCTGAAGCTAAATGTAGGGGAGTCTTTTTATCCTTTAATAAATAAACAACATGTCACTTAAAAATAATAAAAAAAAAGGTTACGATGTGTCTGTCAGTTGCGGTGACAAGCGAAGAGTATCTTCACCCAGTATTATAACCTTTTGATCTTGAGATACCAAAACCATTGAAAATTGCTCAGACGGGGGCTGACCACCAGGCAAAGTTCACGAAACAGCAGAAAAGAAAAAGAAAGTTCCACTGTAAGTGACATCTTTATTTCTTAATCATCATGCATGGGTAATGCCACATAAAGAGGACTTTGGGAAACTCATGAATTTGGTTTGAATGAAACTAAGACCAGTAGTCGCAAAAATGAGAGGGAAAATTATCTGATCCTCTTATTATATTTACGTCTAATACGAGTCTAAGGAAGAATTAATGCTGATAGTTGAAAAAATCGTCCGTCTTTAATTGCTATATATACTAAACGTACCACAGTAACTAGGTCGACTATAGCGTTGTACTTGGTGACAAGAACACGTACGAAGTCTGCATGACCTTTGTCAGCTGCGATATGAAGTGGTGTCCGGCCGATCTGAGAAAAAAAAAGAAGCAAACCCTTAAGAGAAAAGAATCTCATACTTAAGGTGCAGTGAAAACAAAACAGTGCAAAGAAAACTGAGAACCCACAGAAATCGGTTAAAAGTGGTATGGTTTATGAAGTGCGACGAATTGGCGCATTTCATGTTTGAAAGTAAAAAGAAGTTACATATTTTTACAAGCGGCAACCCGTTAAAATATGAGCGTGAAAATAGTAAGAGCGCGTTTCGCGTTTTGCTTTATTAGTGACTTTAAGTAATTTGTCGTTAGTAACAGACAAGAGTGAATGTCAGTTGGTGACTGCAAAGGATAAAACTCATTTCTAACAAAACAAAGGCACAAGTGACTAGAACAGTAAATTAGAACTTAAAAAGTGAATTAAGTTACAACGAACAAATGTTCTTAATAGCTAACAATAAAGGTGCAAAATGGTAAAAATATACAATCAAACTGGTGATTAATTACTAACAGTAACTGAAGTTCCAGTGATTGTTCGGCTACTTTAAAAGAATTAGTCTCTTATTGAGGTTTTTATCTATTTACCTTGGAGCCTTGCAGTTGGCGCAAAATTGTTTAAAAGACATTTATGATGTTTAACTTAGAGTTGAGTAAATTATTATTTTTATGAAATGTTAAATGATATTATATTAAATATTTATTGAGCCAGTTCCTAAGGCAGGCTTACAGGTGAATTATCATCATCGTCGTCATCTTTGCCTCGACCTGTTTTATCGGCGGAGCTTCGGACGTTTGGCTGCAAATAGAATATTAAGCAGACGCAGACATGCAGTCAAATTAACAAAGTTTATAAAGCGAATTAACTCCACGAATGGGTGCGAACGTCTTCATAGTCAAAAGTTTTCAACTCTTCAATGATGGTTCTGTCAGAAGTCGTCTTGATGAATCTTGTAACGTAAAGATCTTTAAATGTCTGAGTTCGGTTGAAAGTTATCAAAGTTACTTTCTGCATTTTAAACAATTTTTCTTTTGTGCAGAGCTTTGAGTTGTTATCTTAGCATTAGGTTTCCGTCAGAGCGTTATGTTACAAGTTACATGAGAGTTAGTTAAGTGCAATTATACTTATTTTTACTTTCTTACTAATACAGCTATTGTTACTTAAGCATTTGAAAACCCTTCCACAAAACAATTGTGGCAGCTAGCTATTCAGGACTAAACACTGACTGTTAAATAATATCTTGCTAACGACTCCTATTTAGACTGAATGACAGCTGCCACTCAGCGTGCGGGTGATACGACTGTGGTGCGCGTGCGTACTGAAAACAACTCGTTTTCTTTTTCCTTTACCTTGGTGCAGCATGAGCCCATTGTTGGGTCTTGCTATTCGTGTCACTATCGTTAGCATTATTACTGTTAGTATAAGAAACTGGTGCACTACAAAACGAATTATTCCTGTTTTTTCAGTGTGTTCAGTTGATTTGATTGTATTATCCGTTGGCTAGATGTTTTTCTGTTTATTGCTGGGAATTCTACCAATTGTTAGGCTCGATTCCGCCACTCTCTCGGGTCTGGCTGGCAAGCTCATTCCCCAACAGTGGCTGGTGAGCGCGCCTAACCCTGAGTTGTTTTCATTTAATATATTTTGGTCAACCAAAATTAATACTAATTTTTTACCTTTTAGTACTTTAAAATAGATGATATAGATGGGAACCCTCATAGAAGTTATGGAGGTAACTACTGAAAAACACAGAGTGATGGAAGACCTCTGGTCCTAAGTTTTAGCTGTTCGTCATAAACACTTGCAGCTCTAAAGGTGTTCAGTTATCGTTTAATACCCATGCGTGGCAACCATTTTTAAACTGGATAACCTGGTAAAGATAGTGGAGGCGCAGTGGTCTGGTGGTTATTACGTTTTGTAAACTCTCGATTGTGACAAAATACTGCCAGACCACCATTCTTTCCGCTGATTTTGAAGAGAAAGGTCGTATTCTGTCGCCATTTCAACTTACGAGCCGTCAGTACTTTTAGGCTCATGTCACGTGTCGGAATTTACTCTGGCAGGGCCTCTGAGAATGATGACAGGTTATTACCAAAATTCTTGTTTAACTATGCGGTGTATCTTAGGCTAATGTTTAAATGAGTGTGGATAAAATAAAGTACAGTCGACATTCGGATGTTTAAAGCTATAAGCCAGCACTTCCCGTTCTTGGAAAAGTTGATCCGAAGTTAAGGAGTTGGCGGTAAAAATCAGAGGGAGTTTAATTTATGGTAATTTTAGTCTCCTGTTGTTCCATAGTAAGTAAAACTGCAAAAACCCCTCTTATTTCTGTTTGATTGTCCCCTTATTGTCTTTACAACTAGAACTTTCCTTACAAACCTTGGTTCTTCCGTTGACGTAAGCTCGGTTATTGAGAAGTGCACGTGCTACCTCCACGTGACCTTTGGAGGCTGCGTAATGAAGCGCCGTGCCGCCCACCTATGATAAACAGAAATATTGATACTAAGAAGTTTCTAAAGTAGCCAATCAGACTTCTTAAAAGTCCGGTAAAAATTTACCAGGAGCGTAATAAGACACATACAATGATGGTCGATAGAACAGTGATATTATAAAGGCGTTCAGAGTGACCAAGGCGAGGAATTATTTGTTACTGCCTCGTGTCCGTGTAGGTCTTGATCAAATAGTCCTAGCATCCATTTCTCCATTTAATAATAATAATAATAATAATAATAATAATAATAATAATAATAATAATAATAATAATAATAATAACAATAATAATAATAATAATAATAATAATAATAATAATATATTCATTTTTACCGCGCAAATGCAAAAAGGTTTTCAAATGCGCCTTACAATGAAATATTTAAATTATATTTATAGAAAGAAAATTAATACTAGTAAATACAATGTTAAAATACAATTAACTATAACAATAACTCAAACAATTGCCCTGACAGTGACATCAACACCTACTGAATGCATATAACCAAGCAATAGAAAACCCAGAAAATCTGCCTGATTGGTTCACTACAGCACAAACATATTTACTACCAAAGAACAAAGACACAGAGAACCCCAAAACTATAGACCAATTGCCTGTTTATCAACATCCTACAAGGTGCTCACATCGATTTTAACTGAAAGAAGCTACACCCATATCACAAAGAATGAACTCAGATCAAATCAAGTCACTGTATAGCAAGAACGAGCAAGAACGAGCAAGAACAAGTTGGAGAACTGAAAATAGTGAAACAATTCAGAGATGATATTGGTATGGAATTCGGACTTTGAGAATGTACCAAAGCCAGTTTCATGAAAGGTAAACTGGCCTCAAATTTTCATAGCAAAATGAAAGAGAAGATAAGAAAAGTGATAATAGGAGAGTAAGATTAATCCTAAGAACTGAGCTCAATGGAAGAAACAAAAATAGAAGCTATCAATAGTCTTGCAGTCCCAGTTGTGCAATATAGCTTTGGCATCATTGACTGGAAAATCTCAGAACTGAAGAAGATTGACACAAAAACACGCAAACTACTGAACATACATAAGATGTTACATCCTAAAGCAGATGTGGAAAGGCTGTACATCCCAAGAAAAGATGGAGGTAGGGGCCTGATTGATGTAGAAACAGCATTCAAAACTGCAACAATAGGGCTTGATCACTATCTGAAGCACAAGGAAGGGCAATATCCAAAGCAGGTGCTTGAACATGAAAGATCTAAAGCCAAAAATTCAATATCCATTCTACTAATAGAGAAATAATTTTTAATTTTTATAATTAATATAGTTGATTTAATTGTCACATCTGTCCATCCCCATCCATCCATCTATCTATCCTGTCAGCCTTTCTGCCGGGCAAACATTTATCCTTCCACGCATGTCTTATGACAACCTAAATTTAACGGTTTTATAGCAGTGGCGGATCCAGGAGAGGGGGCCGGGGGGGGCCGGGTCCCCCTTATTTTCAGACCAAACTGAGGCCCGAAGGGCGGAAAAAATTTTTTGACACCACCCCCCTTCCCACTCCTCCCTTATCTCAAGGTCTTGATCCTGTACTGTATACTGTTAAAAGAGAAAGGGGTCGAAAATACTCAAATGACCAACCCATTAATAGAAAAAGAGGAAAATGTCGACTTGCATTTTAACTTAGCCTCACCTCATCGAACACATCAACTCTGGCGTGGAATCTAAGGAGTACTCGAACGACTTCCAACATACCGCACTCTGAAGCGAGCATCAGCGGAGAGGCTCCACGCTACAAATATGAAATAACTAAAACTGTTAGTCTATTACTGAACATCTGGGAAGAAATCATCGGGCTCCATTTTGGGCTTCTTCAATATTAGCCCAGTAGTTTTCAGTCAGTGATTTGACCGAAATCGTGTGCACTTTTATGCACCTGTCAGAAGTCACTCATTCACTACATTCAGAAATTACAAGGTAACTTGTTGACCGGATAGCAGGATAAATTGACCAAAGCCTTTCCTCATTAGACAGTCAGATTCAGAACAGAACCAGGAAATTTCTCTATTCAGTCTACCTGTCCGTTATTCTTTCATTTCTTGATTTGTTATTTATTCATTTAATTTGCCACACACACCATATTGTTATTGCAATGCGAACCGAAAAGATCACAAACAGTGGAGAAAACAATTACGTCAGGAGGCCTAAGAGAAACCATGTAGCTTATGTTAATTAGGCCTCCTCAGCTATAATTTTACAAGATGAAATTTAAAATTAGGGCGACGGATACGAATGCTTCAATCAGGGGGCAGAATGATACACAGAAGCTGAAAGTTTTCGAACGCCAGCACATCGTAATTCTGACCAGGCTGGACAAGAATTAGCGCTGCAAAAGTAAACTCTCGGATCATCTACATAGCCGTCAAGTAAGCCAGTCAATCATGTCAGCTCTGCCGTCTCGTCAAGTTACCTCAGATGCCTTGTTGATGGTGCTTAGTTTGACATGTTCTGGAACGTAGCCGGAAGTAAAGAACTCTTCCATGATTTGATAATTCCCTGAGCGGGCGCACCAATGAAGAGGTGTTTCTTTTTTCTAAACGAAAAAATAGAAAGACGCTAAAATATAGATCACAGATATTTGGAACAAGTAAAACATTCATCACGCTTTGCCAAGCACTGTGACTCTAAAGATTTTTACAAGGCTACCAATGTAAGCGACTCGGATGGCACGCGGTGGAGAGATTGAGTAGTGGTATGATGAAAAGATCCACGATAACTGTAAAATACTTTTTAATATCAAGATTGTCAAAAGAAGGTAGGACTAAACAGACACACTTGAGGGTATAAGGTGGTTCTGAATATGAGGCATTCTTCGACCAAAACATCAGCAAAACTGATCGTGCGATTTTAGCCCTAGTATTTCATAATTTGACGACTTCTTACTTTTTTCAAGAAAGTTTTATTTTCGCTTGGATTTATGACAGTAATCTCGTTTGGCAGCTGTGAAAGAAGCTCTAACGCGAACGCATGGCTACCTGATATGTTGTTAAGGCAAGATTGGCACTATGTTCCAATAGAATTTGAACCACATTCACCACCTCCTCATCGGTTGACTTTGTACTTGGAGCAATTCCTGCCACAAAATGAAGAGCTGTCTCTCCCGCCTAGATGTAAAAGTGATTGGGTTAGAAAAAGGAAGGCAACCAAAGCCAACCAAACATAATGACGATATGATTTTATGAATCTCTTCCAAACACAAAGAACAAAAAATACCAAGCACAATTTTCAATAGTTTTCTTGGCATCTTTTGACGAATGTGATATACGGCGTATACTTACTGCGTTTGGTATATTAACGATGAGACGAGCTAGAGCTTTTGACTTGACTTGGAAAACCTTCTCTACTAGCGCCTTTACTATCTCGTAATGCCCATTTTGACAAGCGAGATGTATTGGGGTTTCGCCTGTCTGCAAAGAGTAAACATACAAGTTTCAAAACCAATTTTCAGCAAAATCTAATATCTTTTAGCTCTTTAATACATAAAGGATGTTGTATAGCGTGCTTTGTAATAAAGCATAAGGGTGACTCACAAATAAGGGGTGATTTTCGTTTGTATTTACACACTTCACTTCACTTCTCTTCACTCAATGGCTCAGAGCAACCAAAATGTCGGCTATCCGAACCTGAAGTAAGCTCAAACTTTAGCCTCGTCCTATAAAAGCTATACGATAGGACTTCATCTACAGACAGGACGCTTAAAGTAAAACCACCTTTTTCAGTGTAACAAAAAATATCACAGGAAGTACAGAATCCTCGAGTAACTTTCATCCACAGTCATTAAGAAGTCAAAGCTTTCACTTGAATAGTCGTTTCTCTACAGAAAAGGGAAACTTTAAGTATGGGCTCCAGCAACGTACGTTTACGTCACCTCGAAAATCTCACTTATATTACGTGAGAAGTCTAAGAGTCTGTCTATTGCTAACACAAAACAAATGCTTCAATCAAAGTGACAAATTCCTTAACAATAGTTTGTAATGCTCATGCTAAATGATGGTATTTATATACGTACCCTGGTTCGACGAGCCACTTCTGTGTCCTCTCTCAGAAGCAGTTTTACTACCTCGAAGTTACCGCACCTTGCAGCCAAATGAAGTGCTCTTTCGCCATTCTGGGAAAAAAACATTGAACATTTTACATCAGGTAAGTGCAACTGCTTTTAATTACTATTTGGAATCAATCACCTGCTTTGCGGCATCGGGATCGGCTCCACTTTTAATCAAAACATCCACGACTTTTTCACTACCTTTGACCTTGGAGGCCATATGAAGTGGGGTTTCGTTGGCCTAAAAAAGTGCAAAATTGTTAGTTTTGTGAAAATAGGGATGTTTAAGAATAGAAACGTTTCTTTCATTTTCAACTTTTTTCTCTGAGGATAAAGCCCTTGCTCTCCATCCATTTATGTCTCAGTTTGGATTTTAAAACGAGCACATCAACCGCTCTGATCATATTAAAGTTGTAAAACCCCTTTTTCATCTGAGCATAGTTATTAGAGGAGACTGGTTATGAAAAGCGGCAAACATCAATGATAAAAACAACAGTGCTGCAGTTTATGTTGACGTGCGCAACCTTTGTTTTCTGGGATGCGGAATAAATTAAAACGTTTTTATTGGTCACAATCAAAATGATAGAATTCTTTTTTTACTTTCAGGTCCACAAAAACATAATAACAAAGGAGTCTGACGGGATAACCATTTCAATTTGATAGCTGCGCACCGGGGATGCAAAAAATTTCTTCACGCTTCAAGTTTTACTTAGTTAATCACAGAGAGATTTTCTTATAGCTGGCATCCTAAGGCGATAAATTAAAGAACGAGGCTGATCGGACAGGTATAAATGGGCAATTCATTTGAAGGTTAGTTTTGCCTAACCAAAATATTGGGCAAATAAATTACTCATTCATAGCTGTCCATTCAGCCTTGCCTTTAATTTATAGTGTTTATCATATATTGATGATCTTGATCAACACTAAGATCTGGCTTCTTGCTTCTCTTCGCTGCTTTTTGCCCAAGTTGTCCTTGCTGCAAGAATTTTTTCTTTTAGCATCCTAAACTTTCCCTTCTAACGCTAAGTAATTAGGGATCTTCCCTTCATGCAGTTTGTACAATGTGTTCTAGTTCTTTTTTCGTCTTTCAAGTCAAGCGAACGATGTTACACGGGGAAAATAAATTCAGTAAGCTACACCTTCAAACTTTTCAGATTTCACCATCATTTTACTTACTACGCCTCCAACGACTGTGATGTCCGCACCATACCCAATTAGAAGCTGTACAACAAGGTGTTTCTTACTGAGAGCAGCCAGGTGGAGAGGAGTGTACCTTTTCTAAATGCAAGATTGTTTGGTATGTTAACGAAAAACGAAACAAAACAAAAACAGAAATCAATGAAAAGAAAAAAGAAACTTTAAAAAAGTCATTGACTCAATCCATTATGAAAGAGGACTCAATTAAAGAGTGTGGGAACGGAAAACTGAATTTACAAAGCTCAGCGTAATTTCTTAAAGGACTCTGTAATCAGTTACAAGAGAGCTATTTTGGGTCTACTAGTATTTCTTTGCAAATTCGCATGATACTCTGAATTTCTCATATTTATCATTCTCCTGGTACACTTCGATCTTTTGTAGACTTTGTATGGCTCATCCGCGTACGCGTGTTTTAACCATTGGCAGGGATAGCAGTCTTAAGTCAAAGCATATCGAGTGTCACTTACTGGCGAGGGTTGAGTGCAAAGGCGTCTGACGGCTATTTTACTGCAAGCTTTCAGGATTGTCCCACGATTGAGTATCAGGGGCGGATCTAGGGGAGGGTGCAGGGGGTGCGCACCCCCCCCCCTGAGATGACCTGCGGTTTTCTAATACAACTGGTATTCCGCAAAAAAAAAACTATGTGGCTTATCGGTGTTGAAGTAGAGCAAGAGACGAGTGCACCCCCTCCTAAAAAAAATCCTGGATCCGCCCCTGAGTACGTCACATGCGTACGAGCGAGTGAGCAAGTCGGTTATGTAAATAGGATCATGGCTCGTAGGTGATTCAGGTGACATGACGACTACAAGCTGTTTGCATTCTGTTGCGATTTGACAGAAAGACTTGAAGATCCTTGAATTACCTTATTTTTTATGTTGACAGGAACACCTTTTTCTAGCAACATTTTCACTAATCCTACATGTCCTTTCCTAGCTGCTTCATGGATACACAAGCTTCCACTCTGAAATATTAAGTAGGGGGAAATTAAATTAAGTTATAACAAAGCTTTCAACTGATCTGTTGGGGTAAAACAAAGGAAGATGTCTAATAAGAGCCACCTCTTACAAGCAGCCTTCTCTAATTTCTATCCAGAGATTACAAATGCCTGAATTCTGTCATAGTGACCGAGAGACGTACAGCACACAAACTTCTTTCAGAACTTTCTCCGGCTTCAGACTCTTGGCATGTTACTTTACCTTATTTGGCATTTGTGTAAGGGCGCCTTTCTTAATGAGGACATTAGAGGTGTCCATCTGTCCCGCTTTACAAGCTAGGTGAAGTAGAGTACTGCCATCCTAAAATGAGACAAATTAAGTCACAGTTGACTAAAATTACCATAGTTGAATTCTGTTCAGAAACTAAACGGGGACAAACAATTTAGACACGAGATACGGAAGTACATGGAAACCAACTTTGACCTGGGAGTTCTTAAAAGCCAATTATCAATAACAATCAATAAAAATGAGCAAACAGATAATTATATTTTCCATTGTCTTCTTTTAAATTGCTTGCTATCACAAATGGTACAAAATGGTAGGAAATTCAGCTGGAGTTATGCCTCAGCCTCGTAGTTCTTGTCAAAAAGGTTTTTATAGCAAAGATTGCAATAACTTAGCAACTAAAGATGAGCCAGTAATAATAAGTTATTCAGTCACCCTGTTCCTTGCCGAAGGATCCGCTTTAAACTTTTCTAGAAAAAACAAGACAATGGAATGATGTCCAGCCATCGCTGCTACGTGAATAGGAGTCATTTCTTCCTAAAAAGACAAAAACAAATGAAGTATAAAATTACTGCTTTGCACTGTAAATAATAACATTCTGGGATATCAAACAAATGAGGTAATGTAATCTTTCACCCTCTTTACTTTCACGCTGGGGTAGACATAAGCGATAGATTGTTGACTACACTCTTTCACCTTATGGTAATTGCCTTACTCCCATTTTCCTGAAAAATAGACTCCTGCAAACTGTAACTATCTGTACGTACACGCCGCATTCTTACTAACTAGGGCTCTTTATACCAACAGCCCCTCACACCTGTTCTTCGATAAAAAGCGTGCTAAGTCTCTTCTTCATGTGCCGTCTGTACGGGATAGTTTGCGTCTTATTTTTCCTCGTGTAAATGGACCTATTGTCGTCTTATGTTGTGATTTTTGAAGAGTTATGCAAAACAGGGTGATAAGGAGGTGATAACAAGGCCAGCTTAACTTACATTGTCAAGAGTGTTGGGGTTTGCTTTCACAGTTTGCAGATATTTCACCATTTCTTCGTCCCCTTTTTGCGCAGCTACATGCAATGGGGTCCTTCCTACATTCTAAAAAGGAAAAAAAAGACAACTTCTCAGATTATGTATTGAAAGGGCTTGGTCTCGTAGTAGGCTCTACTTTCTTAGGTTAAAACTGATCATGAATGGATATCAAAACTCAATATCTTCAGTCATGCTTAATGCTATTCGAGGAACACTGAGGAGAAATTGCAATTATTACAAAGTGTGTTATTTTTCATTTTATCTAGAAACAAGAATGAAGTCATATAAGCATGTTTGACGAATTTTCCAAATCGACCCAGCGTATCTAGAACAAAAGATTTGGTTTTCCATTATCATCGCATAAAAGGAAATTTGAAAAAAAAAACCAAAGATAAGTTGGCTTAAGTAAAATGCACACAAATATAAAAAAGCTGCAGCTATGGTGGATCTTCTTATGGAAGCTTTTACCCACACAGCAATCATGTAAACCTGACACTAACCAAGCTTTCTTCATATTACCTTTTTTTTAATCTCAACTGACTAATTTTACCATCTTAAAAAAAAGATTACAATCTTTGTTCTATGTTACGTCCAATAGCTGAATTTTGGAAAATAAGGAAAGCCCCTAAAAGCCTAATATTTAAAACAGCGTGTCTCCGCATGAAAAAAAAAAACACAAAAGAGATCATAAATTCCGATTAAAGTTTTAACTGACATCATAAACGATTTCTTTATATTGGTCTAATTGCTGCCACTCCCTTCGTAAACATGGCGATTGTATAGTTTTGGAGTCCTTTCGTACAGAGGCGGGTTTTACTTTGTGTTGGGCTTAATAGGAACCTAATAATCTCAGTTTTCCATCTTTGTTTCCATATTTAGCACTTATACTGCTGACAATAGTTCCATGATGAATAACTTACATTCTGTTCATCCGGTGGAGTTCCCCACTGCACCAATAGTTTGGCCAGTTCTGTATCTTTGTTGTAAGCCGCGATGTGAAGTAATGTATCTCCATTTGCCTATTTCATAACATTGTCATTGAAATAAAAAATTAAACGACAAGTTAAGCTATCTCAGTCAACTCAAAAGAAAGCTGGCAACTTGTAAAGTGTAGCTAAGCTTTACGCAATCAGATATTACATTGATTATAACACTTGTGCTACCCATTGGTATAGTATAGCACTTTGATTCTGTTAAACGTCAGGGTCTCGTAAAAAAAAATTGTCCTCGATTTAAATATTCCATAATATGCAGGCTATTTTCACAACTACCACAACAGTTTAAGCATTCAGTTTTCTTGTGTAAAGTTGGGCTATTGCTTTCACCTCCATTAGAACAGAATTGTAATTTATGACCAAGGATGACACGTGACGTTAATAGATACACTGTAAAACTTGTTACCCCCACAAAAGAAGAATAAGATAGAAAAAAAAAGTTGGATTTGGTTATTTAATCAGAATTATCAATTTAAAAAGTGTTTACAGACCTGTTAAGTGAACTTGCAGTAGTTAGAAAATAGATCAAATCTGTTATTCAGTAACCTGCACATGTGCTTCCTTGATTAATGATGAATCGTATACGTCAAGTTAGGATTTTCAATGTGCTATACATTCAATTTATTTTTTAAACTAATTATTCCTTTACTTTTTTGAACGAAACATCCAATTATTTTCATTCAAAAGATCAGTTTAAGCTTGTGTAAAGCGAGCTAAAAGCTTGACCTGTCTCGTAATTTAGTACTATAAACGAAGAATGATAATTTGAAAAATTGAGAGTTCTTTCTTAACTCCATGTCACGACTCTTAATAAATGTTTTTAAAATACCATGAGAAGTTCCTCTTGATCATAATATGCATTAATGCGGTGTTTGTCTGTCAAGGGTACGCACCGATTTTCCAGATCTCACATCTTGGTCAGCCTGTGACGAGTTTAGCAAGGCTTTGATCGCTTGTGTGCAGTTTGACCTTACTGCGACAAACAAAGGTGTGTTTCCCTTCTGCAAATATCAGGTCAGACCATAAATATTATGAACACAGTAAACCCACTGCTGCAAAAATTCAGGGGACGTCAAGGACCTTTTTTTGTCTTGTCTTTTTGTGTTTTGTTCCTTTGCCGACTCCCATTAACCTTAACTCTTTACACTTTTTATACGTTACATTTGTTTGTATTAATAGTTTAATCTTTCATCATTTAACTTAGCTCATTAGTGTTTTATCCTTTGTACAATGATTTAATTAAGCCTTATTTTTACTTTTTCTATTTTTTATTTGTTTTTTCAAGGCAATAGGCCACCATTTCTGAGTTCCAAAAACTCTCAATCAAAACGAGGCTTAGTGCAAAATCTTACTTGGCTGAGAGGGAGTTTTCTTTACAAGACAATAAAAAGCCATTTTCATATCGATGGCCTCGCACTATACTTCGCTTTGAAACAAACGCTTGCGGTAACTCGGAAATGGCCTGTTACTAAAAGAAGTCTGAAATAATTCAGAATCTCGACGGATTTCGATCGCTTGTTGCTTTCGTAATACTTTAACCATTTTACGAAAATACGAGATCGGAACTGCTCCCACCATCAGTGGCTCAGTAGCTGTAACGCTTTTTCACGCTTCTTTTCGCTATTGCATAATCTTTTTAAATTTTATAGCTGCGATTTTTTCATTCGTATCATTTCCGCAGTGTAGATATGATTTACTTCATATCATCATTTCACGCTGTTATTATATTTTATCTTAGCTTTTAATCACTGCGAAATGCAAATAACAGCGATGCATGCAGTGTTCCGGCACAATGCCCGTCTAAGGCAGACCACTTCTATTGTCTGACGACAAGAGACTTTTACTCTCGAATCTTCTGATATCTCTTCACTTACTGCAGATAACCACAGCCTACCTTGTTCGTGATACTGATGTTAGCATTGAACTTTCCCAATAGCAATTCCACAATGTTGACATGTTTTTTCCTGCACGCCACGTGTAAGGGCGTGTCCCCGTCCTATCAGCGAAAATATCAGTATTTTAACATTTCCTGTTGTCATCCTTATGGAAAGAATCCCAATCAGTTTCATTTGTTGTTTGATCTCCAACTTCTCTCCCCTTTACTGTTGTCTAGTTATTGCATATGTTGTCCTAGGCGTTCGAACCATCTTAACTACAATTCATTCCGTACTTGGGATGAAGTCGCAATGAGATGTCTCCGTTTTCTGAATCATTTGCCCTCAGTACACAGTACTGCATTCAAACCGCTCCCTGGGAACTGCTGCAGACCCCTAAGTTTTCTTGATCATTATCACTTTCACAAACAACAGCCTGTCATAATCACGTTTCTTTTGTTTGATAGTTACTCTTACAACTTCTCTGAGGCGTAGGATATAAATGTTAATTAGCCTGTCCAAGATTTTGGGCCTAAGCATCTCCTTCCTCTCTCATGTTTGTTGAGAAACGTATAACATTTCTTATTAAAAGGAAAATTTTAAAACCTTACATTATTAATCACGTTGGCCTTGGCCTTCACACTGTTCAGGAATCGTGCAAGAGATATGTCACCTAGCTCAGCTGCTATATGTAGGGCAGTATTCCCATCAACCTGTGGGGGATTAATTCATTAGAGATCAAATGAGTTGCATTCACTTCACAACCAAGGAACCAAGATCATGATATATTTTATTACCTCACAAAACCAGAATATTTCAAGGATAACACATCAGGACACCTAAACCTCTAAAACAATCTACGATCATGTCAAAAAATCTGACCTAAATAATTATAGAAACACTATCTACCAATCAATTAATAAACCAAATGTCTGGTCTGAGGAGAGTACCCTCGCCTTTAACAACGACAGCAAGGTTATGATCCCATCCACCCCGCAAATGTCCAGAGTACATCACCTTGACGAGTATGATCCTAACATCACAGTCAGTGGTTCTAAACTAGAAGTATTAAATTTTGCAAACTGCTCGGAGTTCACATCAATCAACATCTTAAGTGGGACGATCACATCAAGCATACGCTATCTGGATGCTACGCCACTCTATCAATACTAAGAAAACTGAAATATCTCGCCAAATATGAGCTTATAAAGCAACTAGCAGAAACATTGATTTTGTCAAAACTAGATTATGCTGATCTGGTTTTTTACCCTCTACCACAATTCTTGCTTCGCCGTTTGCAACGAGTTCAATTTACTGCCGCAAGTTTTGTACTCGGTCACTATGTTAGAACTTTCGGGATGTGCTTAAAATCGGATGGCTTCCAATCAATGAGAGAAGAGATTCGAACCTTCTGAAATCATGTTTTAAAGCTTTGCATAACACTGAGACTTGGCCAGATTATCTTAAAATAATAAAACAGGAATGCCGCAAGGAAATACGCTCAAGTAATTCAATTAGATTAGTGGTCCCAACCAAAAACGGCACTTTCCAAGATAATGCATCCAAACTATTCAAAAATCTACCAGAAACTATTAGAAACTGTAAAGATTACAGAAACTTTTTAAAACGTTCAAGAAATTTTTTATGTAACAGAGTACAGAGTGATTAGTTTTACTGTAATTTCGATTCTGTTAATCCTACTTCTACTTTTAATTGTATATTGCGTAATTTGTAAATAACTTAATTTAATTTATTCTTAATTGTAATTGAGCCCACCCAGTGGATCTGTTAGGAAACCATTATTATTATTATTATTATTATTATTATTATTGTTATTATTTTCTCTCAGTATTCTAAGCACATTTGTGTTGATTTGTATCACCTATTTAGAGGAGTTTGATTGAAAACCGCCAAATTCCTAGTCTTTGCCGGCAGCGGTTTACAAAGGTGCGCGATTAAGCGTTTCTTATTGACTGAGAACAACATTATCTGCCAAAATGGAAGGGTAGTCCTAAATGTATAACAAACTCACGTTTTTCTCATCTGCTTTTGCTCCACTAGTTATCAACGTCCGGCAAATTTCAATATTTTTTAACCTCGCTGCAATGTGTAAAGATGTATCACCATTTTCCTGTTGATAATTAAAAAAAACATTTCATTATAAAGTTTTCTGTCAAGTTAAATTGACAAGTATCCAGCAACAAAAACAAACGTGCAAAAACTTTAAACTTGTCTGTAAAAAGGAATGAACTATACCGTTCTACACTCCTCATGTACATCTTCATTCAATAATCCAAAATCAAAGAGGTCCGAGACTGCTTTCACGTCTTCAGATCTGACGGCTTGCAAAAGTGACTCAGCAACGTTCTACGTTAAAGAGATCAGATGTCTGTAAAACAGTTTGCGTTCAAATTATCGTATAAAAATTTTTGAAACCTAGGTTATAACTTGTTTAGTTATTTTTTGACATAAAAGGGGCTTTAATAGCAGGCGCGGAAAATAAACGTAATTATAGTAGCTGATTGTGATTTGTACTGAGTTTATGATTTCTTGATTCAACATAACCAGGCTTTGTGGCTCTTACAAACACCACCTGAATATACAGCCAAGAAAGCGATGAAGCAGCCTGATCAGTTTCCATACTACTACTAACTCTAGAGTCCACCACACGCACCCAAGACTGAAATGACATGACCGGCTACAGAAATCTTTTTGAAAGACTTATATCAGTGTCTTTTTACAGGAGAACTACTTTAACAGAGGATTTGTTAAGGTTTTGCACTCATTGTACTTACTTCCGGTGCAACTATAACGGGTCTTGCTAATGTTATATTCTGAAGCTTCTCTATAATTTCTGTTTTTCCCATAGTTGAGGCAAGTTGTTCAACTGTCACTCCGTCCTAAAAGTAACAAAGAGGAAGTCGTTTATCTTTACTCATTAGAGATTCAACCAAACAGAGCAAGGAAAAAAAATAAAACAAGCTTGATAACCAACCCAGTCGACAAAGTTATAATTCTAAATGTATTAGAGCATCGGGACCTAGCGTATATGGCATCTACGAACAAGAATAACAATGTTTAGCAAGTTAAGTCCATGTGAGTTGATGAAGTCATGATTTTAAAGGAGCAACATCTCAGATCCACCATTGTGCCAGTAGAGGACCGGATCAAAACTGGTTCAATATTAATTCAGTATCGCAAAACTACCTTTTAATACTTTGAGGAGACTGATTCGTCTTACATTGGTTTAACTGCGAAAAAAATTCCCGTCTCCGTCAACAGACCGTAGACTGTTGCTTTGGAAATGAGACATGGCAAGTTTGCCGATGAATTACTTCAAGTGGTTAAAACTGGACATAGTCAAAAGGTTTAAAGTTGTACACGTGATATTTCGGTACAGGCACGTTCCATTCCTTCCCGATCAACTGTTTAACTGTTCAATTGGGCGCGGGTAATATATTCTTTTGTAGCGACAGAGAGGGTAAATTTTAAAGCGCAGTAAATAATATTTAATTAACTGCATGTAGAGGGTTCCGTCTACGAAGCACCATCTGAGAGTACTCGGACAAACGAAGCACAAAACTTGTCTTCAGGCAACTTTCTTTCTAGAAAACAAAAGTGTTATAACCTAACTTCAACAAATTATCTTTAACTTACTTTGTCCGGTATATCGTATTTGGCACCATGGTCGAGAAGACAATTCACCATGTCCTCATCTTCGTTGTATACAGCAATATGAAGTGCAGTCTGACATTCTCTCTATAAAAAAAACGCAGTATATTGATTGACAATTTGAGTCAAATACAATAAAACATCAAGGACGTGTTGTATGTTTTTAAAGTCTTTATAAAACAGCTAACGGTAGAAAACTAACACATCGACTTAAAAACCAACTTCTTTATATCCACAACCCAAGGGAATAACACATGGCAAAGATTCTTTTACAAATTTAAATATCGTAAGGATTTTATCACAAGTTGCATATCGTAGCATCTTCCCTAAAAAAACAAAAAAAACAAAAACAAAAACAAAAAAAAAGAAAAAACAATCAAATCAAAACAAAACAACAGAAATACAATGTCAATCAGTTCCTCTATGCGCTTGCAGTTCTTAAACGTCACTTGTTTGTCCCTTTTAAAGCGACACAGTTCTTTAAATGATTAGGTGGCCTGACCAGTCTCCCACTTCTCGTACGGACTTGGCTCTCACTACCCTTAGGCGACGCTTGTTGGCTGGAGGGCATGACTATTGGGTGTGTTGTTCTGCTTGATTGATCATTGTTCCCTGTAGGGGCCTGGTCCTCGCTCACCACAGTGGTAGACAGGGGGTTGGTTAATACTGGTTGTTGCCATCCGTTCCACAGCTGGCTGATCATCGGACTCCAAGGACGTTGGCTTTCCTCAGCTAGTGGGCTATCAGCTTCCGCAGAACGTTTCAGGTATCCCCGATTTCTGATATAGAGCGGACCACCCGATTCCACCACAAAGGATCTTCTCTCAAGTGGTTTCACAACCTTCGCCTTTTTCCACTTTTTCTCATTTAGCGAAAAGGGTTGCATCGGAACAACATCATTCGTTTGAAGATCAGACAGGGCCTTTGCTGATGTACTTCAATTTCCGCAACCTATCTTTCTCTTGAGTTCCCTTAGCTAAATTAGGTCTCAATAAGTTACTAGAAAAAGGGATATTTGTCTTTGTTCTTCTACTTAGCATACGCTGGGCAGGGCTGGCTACCAAATACTTCCTGTGGGGTGTTACGATGAGCCAACAGCGCCAGGTAGGGATCACTACTGGATTCTCCTGATTTTTTGAGGATTTTCTGTGCCTCCTTGACGGCAGACTCCGCGTGGTCATTAGATTGATGATGGCCTGGACTCGTGGTCACGTGTTTGAATCCGTACTCCCTGGTGAAGGCTTTAAATTCTCGACTAGTGTACTGTGAACCACAGTCTGATACCACTTCGTCAGGAATGCCATATCGAGCAATGTTCGCCTTCAGCTTCTCAATCACAGTAGAGACTTTCGGGTCATACAACCTGTCAACTTCGACGAAACTCGAAAAGTAATCTACTGGATGTCAACATGTAACTCTTGTGGTTTAACTCAAACAGGTCTATTGAAATTTCGCCCAACGGCGATCGGGAACATCATGACTTATAAGTGTCTCCTTCTGCTGTCTGGAACCATATGTCGTACGTGTTTCGCACCTGGAAGTAAAATATTTTACATCACTCTTCATGTTTGGCCAGTAAATCCTTTCTCTGGGCGTCTTAGGGTCGATTCTATCCTTTGATGACCAGAGTGTGGTGCCTGGAGCATGCGCTTCCGAAGGGTCTTGGGGATTATGAGCCTGTCTTCTCTAAAGAACAATCCATCTAAGATCACTAATTCATCACGGATGTCGTAGTACATCGCCACTGCTGGAGTTAACTGTCTCTTGTCCGCTGGCCACCCAGACCGCACTACAACCATCACAGCTTGAAGTCGTCATCATTCTTAGTCCCTACGCGGAACATTTCTGCCTCGCGCTCATTCACTAGGAGCGGATTCACTAGGAGTGGCTCATTCACTAGCTCATTCATTATTTCTTGAATGTCTTGCTCAACTTAAATTCCCACCTCAAAGGCTGATCTGGTTAACAGGACATGCTCCCTGTGCTCTCTAGTGGTTTCTGTCAACTTGAAAAATGCCGACTTAGGGTATCTGAAAGGTACAGCTCTTTTCCCTTCTTGTATCGCACGTCTAGATCGTAGCGCTGCAATCTCAAGTTCATTTTCTGAAACCTCTTTGGGGCAGACACCAGTGGCTTGGTAAATATCGTCTCGAAGGCTTATGGTCTGACTCAACAATCACCTGCCTCCCATAGGTGTACTGGTGAAACCTTTCAGTTGCAAACACAATAGCAAGAAGCTCCTTTTCTATCCGAGCATAGTTCTTTTCAGCCGGAAGGGCTCTGCTGCATATGCTACCGGTCTACCATCCTGGACTAGTGCGGCTCCAATACCCCCATCACTTGCATCACACTGAATGACTAGATCCTTCTCTCGCTCACAGTACTTCAGCACCGGTGGAGCTGTCACCATCTCCTTGATCCTATCAAATGCTCTGTCATGGATTTCTTCTTGTTAGCAGCCTGAGAGGCTCTGAGACTTCGGACAGTCTCGGCAGGAACTTTGCCAGGTAATTCAAGGTCCCCATAATGCGCTGAACACCAGACACAAGTAGTGCATCAATTCTGGACAGGTCTCCTTTCACTCCTTTTGAGGTTAGTAAATGGCCAATGTAGGGTACCTCTGTTTGCTTAAAAGGCACCTTACGTTCGTTTAGCTTAATGCTACCCTTACGGCATCTCTCCAAAAGCTTTTTAATCTTGCGATCGTCATCAACTATCGCCTCCTGCATCGTGTCTCCAGTACCAGTTACAAGGATGTCATCTGCTATCGTATACACTCCATCCAGGCCTTCAACTGCTTCATATAGGCTTGTTGGAATATCTCACCGGGGGACGAAACTCCAAGCGGCGTTCGATTCCATTTGCATCGGCCAAAAGGTGTGGCAAACGTTGTGAGCAAAGAAGTCTCTTCTGTAAGCTTTATCTGCCAGTAACCATCCTTCCAATGTACTTATGTAAAAATTTTCGCTTTGCCCAATTCTGGTAGAGTGTCCTCAATCACTTGCATTGGAAAATGACATCTATTTAATGGCATCTCTTCAAAGACTTGGGGTCCAGGAAAAGGCGGAGCTTGCCGTCAGCTTCCCTTGCAATCATAACAGAGTTCACCCATTCAGTAGGTCTCTCCAATTTCTCTATGACACCTTTAGCTTCAAGATCATCAAGGTACTCTTTCAGTGGCTTTCTCATGACCTCGGGAACTGTTCTCCCTTGCTGCTGAACGGGCCTAACATCTTTATCGACTAAGAGCTGCAACGGGTTTCCAAGATCACCAAGACCTTCGAAGACATCTTCGAACTCAGAGCAAATTTGTTCAAGATTAATCCCTTTGAACGTTTGGGTACTTGCCGCATTCAAGTTTGCTTTGGACGCGTGATCAGCTGTCTTGGGACACGGAGACTTAATCTCGTCATTCCTGACGGTGATTAACTGCATCTGCTGGACGGTCCTGCTCTCGATCAGGTTGACACAGGGCTCATCTTTGACGATGGTGAAGGTCACTTTGAGCTTCCTCTGATCCACGGGGTTTGTCAGTTGAACCCTTACACTTTCCAAGTGGTCTGAGGGTAGGGGCATTGTACATCTAGAGGACTTTATTGGTTGGCTGATTGCGTTCACATATTATGTTTCCTTGATCGCACTCAACTTAAGAACATCGCATGTCACCCCGGTGTCGACTTGGAAACCAATTGCCGGTCCACCCTTAATCTTCATTGCTGTATTGATCTTAGAAGGAACGGTAGTCTGTACAGCGTGCACTGACTCAACTCCCGGAGCTAATCGAAACGTAAACAGGGATTCGCCGGAGTCGCTAGAATACTCCCCAAACACTGTTAACTGGTCTGCGGGGGCCAAGCTTTTTCTCTCGTCCACGCTGCATGCAAACTTTCGCAAGATGATCGCTCTTTCCACACTTTCCGCATGTTTTGCCATAAGCAGGGCATTTTCCCCGTTTGAGCTGGTGAGTTCCTCCGCACCTTTTGAGCTACGCACTCCTGGTTTCCTTTCGTGGCGCTGTTTCAAAGCGTGTATCTCACTTGTATCCCATGCTTCCGCGAGATCCTTTAAATGCTGAGCTGTTGAATCTCCGCTTTTACGATTGTCGATCGCTTTTTCTAGGGTGAGATGCCTCTCTTGCAGTAGCTTCTTTCTCAGAGGGGGCTCTTTGAGACCAAACACAATCCTATCGCGTAATAGTGAATCTTGTAAACCTGAACAGAAATTACACGATTTGGCCACTTTTTAGCGATGAGACGAAGTGATCGATACTTTTGACTTCTTTCTGTGACCTGGAGTCAAACACATAGCGCTCGAACGTTTCATTAGTCTGCCGATGCAGAATTCTTCGAATTTCGGAACAACAGAGTTGAGCATTTTCGAACTTTCAGGAGGTTCCAAAGTCATGCCTTCGTAAATTTCAAGCACCGATCGCAGAAAGAAATGTCGCTGTCTCGTACTCTTCTCCAAATCGCTGGAGCCTCACAACTACAGCGTAATTATCTCAAGCTCTTTTAAATTTCTTCCAGTTAACTGCAACGTTGTCTAGCTTTAAAGGTTTGGGCATCGGTATTCCACTCGGTAAAGACCCGGATAAAGAAGATATCGACGGTTGACTTGATGCGCTTGCTACCGGCACTGTATTTGTAGTCCCAGCTTTCTCCTCCGCAGAGGCCTCTTTGTGTTGTGGGGAGGCTGGGGAGAAAGAAAAAGAGAGCGCGCGGGGAACGATGCTGGAGCCGATCTGCGGAGGAGAGAGTAGTTCCTGAAGTCGAGCTTGTCGTTGAGGCTTGATTCTCTTGATCGCTCATCATGGATTTTGCTTTAGTTTTCTCCTGACACCATGTTTAAAGTCTTTATTAAACAGCTAACTGCAGAAAACTAACACACCGACTTAAAAACCAAGTTCCTTATATCCACGACCCAAGGGAATAACACATCCAAAGATTCTTTTAAAAATTTACATATCGCAAGGATTTTATATTCAGTAATTTACATATCGTAACAATATGTAGTGAGGTGGGGGGGGGGGGGAGTAAGTTATTTTGATGTCCTTTTGTGATGATCTGAATACGATTTACAATATTGTCCCCGAGCATAATGATTGTTTCGAGTTGTTTTTAGTGTAAAAACAAAAAAAAAACAAGTAAGATGTTATTTAAGCGCTACAAAATTTTCGCAGTGTACCGTTTGGCAGTAACAATTTGATATAAGCTGTAAAACAACTTTCATTACATGTTAATTACCCGAAGTTTCAAACATCTAATGCTATCTTTGTTTTAGCTGAGTAAAACCCTGGGCGTCATCAAGGTGACAGGAAGTCAGCGGATAAACCTTCGAGGTCGAACTAGTAAGCTGTTTGATGCCGGATAATTATATATTAAATATACTTCCTAATCCATAAAATGATGATAAAAAATAGATGAACTTCTAATGTTGCTATGCCTAAAATTATACTATAATATCGGCTCCTGACTAGAATTAAACTATATAACGGTCTATCATAACCATCTACTTATTCTTTTTCCAATTTCTATCCTCTTTCTAAATGTACTAACATTTTGTAAGTCAACTTTAGCTCCGCTCTCCATCAGATGTTTAATTATTTCAGTATTTCTTACACGAGCTGCTACGTGTAATGCAAAATCCCCTTCTTCCTATAAGAAATAAAAATAAAAACTGTTTGTCTTATGATGAATACCTTAAGTTATGCACTTTTTAAAATAGAGTACTAATACTAAAGTACTAATTGGGGTCACTATTTTTACGTCTCGAATTGAGAGGCGGGAGACGGGATCGTCATTTTACGTGGTTATCGGAGCCACGCGAACGTCTAGCCACTTGCAGTGCAAAGGGAGTACTTTCATTTCTCAGTTAGTAGTTTAGGACCTGAGTATCTGTCCGGCCCCTAATCCGCGACCTCCCACTCTGCAGTAAGCGCTCTTACCGACTGAGCTTATTCTGCCACGGTTACCTAAACACGAAGATGACATTCGCTAATCATGTTTTAAAGGCGGTCTCATAGTTCACGAACTTATTAATTCCATGCTTATGTCCAGTGTTAAAGTTTTTTTAACAAACGGTCTGCAAGGAAAGGGTGTTAGTTGGAGTTAGAAATAATTTGAATGAATAATAAAATAATCGCTGAGATTCGGCTTCCGTATGATATGAAATATTGTGCGGATCTCTGAGGTTACTAAACCGCCTTCAGCCTCGGTGGATAAAACCTTCCTTTATCTGCAGAATTCTTCATATGGTACTCAGCCTCATCCAATATAATCGACTCAAGTTTTTCGGGGCTTTCTTTTCATCGTGAGTCTAGGGCGTAGCGTTAGAAGGAAAAGCTGAGAGTGAAGCGGGTTTTTTGAGCATCTTATTCATTCTAACAAAGTTAAAAAGAGAAAAGCCATTTTTTTTAAATGTCAACTGAAACCTGTATCATTCAAGGCGCTTGATCGAGTGAGAGTTTTCATTAGACAAGGTTGCGCGGTTAAGCTGATGGACATACTTTAAAAAGAAAAATCATTACGATAAATGTCCTCTCTACCGCACTACATTAATTACGAAATTTGGCACAAATGTAAACATGTTTGTTTGAAAATTAAGCAATGTCTTTGGAGATAAAAATGTCTAAATCCGTGACACTCGCTAATTTTAAAAGGTGGTCTCATAGTTTACCAACTAATTGCCGCGCTTATGTCTAAGCTTTTTATCAAATGGCCTGTTTCCTTAAACCCATGTCCACTAATCAGTAAAAACCCGCTTAGAAGAACCTAGAATTTTCGAGGTCAGGCTGAACAGGTTCTTATATTTTAGGGTAGTCTGATTAGGTTCTCAGTACGTTCTTAATTTTCAGAGGTTGTCGTGGTGTAACCATTGGCAGAAATATTGCACCACTAAGTCTAACACATATTGGTTGATGATAATTCAGTCAAGGTCCAAGTAGAACGTCGACTCAATACATTTCGATATTTTATTTTATAAGATATTTAGATTTTATATCGTCTATATTGCACTCTAGCTTTATGGAAAACATATTTCTAGTAAAAATCCACACAAATGTTAATCAAAGAACATACACAATAACTTTTTGTCGGAAGTTTCTCACACAATTAAAATCTAGAATTTTGACCATCAAAATTGCGGATTGATATTTTCGTATAAGAACCTATTTTTATTTTCCACGCTGAACAGGATCTTGTATTTTTTTCATAAGGCTTTGTACCATGAATACTGGCCAAGAAATACGAAATGAGAAACTATTAGCCACTCAAGGACACTATACGCTCTAGTGAGACAATAAACCTAGCCAACACTGCTGGAAACGAATACCTTCCAGGACTGTGCGTCCAAACTTTTCAACTCCCTACCTGCTCTTGTCCAATCTCGTACAAATTTTGGGTCTTTTTCTAAACAGACCATCAATACTTTAAAAGAGCGAAGTAAAGAGGAGTAATATACTACTATAGTTCCAAATTCAGTTTTTAACCACAGTTAGGTAGTTAGTTTACTTAGGTAGCTACTCTGTCAGTTTTTTTGCCACGCACATTTCTGCTCCTGAATAATGTATACGGAATTAATGAATTATTTCACAATATATTTTATTAGCAGATGTAGAGCCATTTTTTATGGAAATACTGTTAATAAACCATTATTATTATTTATTATTTATTTATTATTATTATTGGAAGAATGTCTGCAAGAATAAACTGAACATACCAAAACTTCCGTGAAATATGAAAACTGGACAGGAACATATATGTAGATCATCGAGGCTGGCGTGTTTGTTTAAGTTAGAAATAATTTGAACGAATAATAAAATAATCAATAGATTCAGCTTTCGTATGATATGAAAAATTATGCAGATCAATGAGATTGATTTTTTTCCGCCTTATCCTTCGGCCTTGGTAGAGAAAACTTTCCGCAGCTGCATAATTGTTCGTATTGAACTCAGCCTCATCCAATAATTGCTAACTATCTTATGACCCAAGTTTCTGGAAGTCTTTTTTTGTCGTGAGTCTAGGGTATAGCGTTCGAAGGAAAAAAACCTTTAACCCGTTTTTTAGGCATCTTATTTATTCAACGATATTTAAAAAAAAGAAATTTTTTTGTCAACTGAAACATGTATCATTCAAGCCACCTGATCGAGTAGGAGTTGCAGACGTCGTTGTGCGGTTAAGCTGATGGACATACTTGCAAAAAATGGAAAATTAACGCGATAAATGTCATCCCAACAGCGCTAAATTAATTACGAAATTTGACACAAAGATAAACATGTTTGCGCCTTAAAAATTAAATCAACGGTAATTGAAAATTAAAAAATGTCTTTGGAGATAAAACTGCTTAAAGTCGACTTTGTCAAACGGCAGATTTCTAGACACCCAACTAGTAAAACGACTTTAGTGGCAAGTAATTGGTGAATTAAACCTGCTTGATCACTGCAGTTCAACAGACGGTTACTTTTGTTATAGAAAAAAAGGGTCATTGAATCACAATATCCATCACCAGAAACAGAAAATAATAATTAAAAAAGAAAAAGAAAGATATGAAACTTAAGGAACTCGGCAGGCAGTTGATTTTAAGCGAAAACCAAAAATCATTGCTCGAATGCCATGACTTCATTCACGAAAGCCATTATTTGACTAGCACAGTAAAAACAGTGAAACTCAGTTTTCAATGCTGCTTTGAAAATAATGATAAAAGCATTCAAGGCTTTAATTGAAAGAAGTCCCTATGTCATTCAGTTCTTTAACGTTTACCATAAAACAGTTATTTGTCCATAAGTACACCTGCTTTACTGCGAAACAAAACGTTGCATCGTTAACGCCAAATATCATCTTATCGTTGTTTGCTGGTAGTTTTACACTGCTATGTAATAAATCCTCACGTAACATTCTGCAAAGGTTAGAATTCCAATTAAACTATCAATTTTATCTCGCCGCTTGCTAATATAGGTCGTTCAGAAAAATTATCCAAAGTTATGTATATGTAAACAACTCGAGAAGAAATTCATTTCAGACCTTGCTTTTGGATAATTTCTAGTATCTAGTTCTAGGTCAGATCTAAGCGGAATTGTTACATATTTACCGTTCTTGCATTGTGGAGCTGTGAACTCTGTTCTTTCAGAATTTCCTGGAGAGCGTTAATATCTTCGTCGTTTATCGCTTGGAACATTTTTGCCCTTGACACAATTGCGCCTTTCTGCAAAATAAATAGTAAGAGTCCTTATTACTGCGTATTCAAGCTTCAGTTCCTCGCTGAAAATTTGATGATCTACATTATAATTCACAATGTCACCTGACGCAACTCGTAAAATTTGGTACGTAAGTCATGTACCAACTACTTTGTGCGTAGGATAAACGTTTATATGCCTCTTAGCTACATCACGTGACCATGAATCGTCAAAAAGTATACGAATTTTAATTAAATTGATTAAAATTCGAGAAGCTATACAGCAGCGGGCGTACTGAGCATGCTAGTTTCAGTTTTCTGAAATTAAAAATTTCAATATTGAATGACAAATTTACAAAATTTTGACAATTAACAATTTTAAATTACAACAAATATTTACTTATGGGACAAGGTAAATGCGTTCAATAACGATTCAGTGTTCTTCAAAAGAACTACGGTAGAGCTGATTAGCTTTTAGAGAGCACTTTCGTCTGATTTTTTTTCAAATGTGTCTTATGTTCTACGTGATAAACGCTCTTCTCGTCTAGCGAAGAGCAGAGGACGTTGGATGTTAGGATCACCTGCATAGTAAACCCAGCTGAAGAATAAATTTTAAAATGCTATCAAATTAAAAGAAAACTAAAAAATGGCGATTTTTTAATTAAGGTATCATCCAGGGCAAGAAAATCGTCATTTTTCGAAATTTTCAATTTTTAGATGATTAAGTAGAGCTCATCAAGAGCTTTCATTTTAAAAAAATTCCAGGAAAAAATGTTTTTTCTGTGCAGACTTGTGGAGCGCAAAAGTTTTTTTACATGCTAATTATTTTAATTGCTCGTTTACAAGTCCTGTCATACTTGATACGTATGCCGCTGTTGAACCAAGCTAATCACGCAATTTGACAGAAATCGTGGTCTACAAGTATAGTGCTCACTGTTTACCCCTGGATTTTGAAAGTGAGTGCCTCCAAAGAAGAAAAAAGAGTTTGTCCGCTTTCGCCCTTGACTCCGAGACGAAAGAAGACGACAAAATCGTTTTGCAAAGTGTGGGCTTCGAAATCAGAGAGTGGGCTCCTACCAAGAGAGGATAAAGGGGACAGAGAAGGCATCCCCAATACACACCCTATTCCATAGGTAATTCGTCTCGACTTATTTTTAAGACCACAGATCCCAAGGGGGATTACAGCCAATCACATAGCGCGAATATGTTCCCCGTGGATGACCCACGCTCAGAGCCACGCGTCCTTCACGAATTGACGCACAAAAAAAATGGTGGAAGACGCGGAGAGCGATATTGCTATTCGTTTTGTCGACGAAAACGACTAAAGAGAGATTTCTACTAAAGCGGTGTCAGCGAAATGGAAATTAAAAAAGAATCGCCCTTCCTCTCTTGTATAGAGCTAACAGTACAGCAGGGAAATCCTTAACACACTGAATATTCTCTCAGGATCATTTATAATTTACAGTTTGTAGAGAGCAATTTCTGGTTTGATATTTATTCTTTCATTAGTCTTTTATTATTAAACAAAAATAACACTTGGCGTCCTACTTGCTTTATTGTACAAAAGACCGGTTTCAATAGACCGGCGAAATTTCTCACTTTATTAAAGCACTGAGGTTACGACAACTTCGAGTTAAACTGATTTCACGGGTTGTCAAAGAGTCTAGCGATTCCCTTTTCCCAGGTTCTCGATCTCTTTACGCTTTCATGAGAAACCTCCACGAAACATCCACGCAGCGTGCGAGGTAACTTTATCCCTATTCTAAAAATAACTCGAGACGAATTACCTATGGAATTAGGTGTGTATGGGGGATGCCTTCTCTGTCCCCTTTATCCTCTCTTGCTCCTACTACAATCTACAAAAATGGTTAAAAGGTGACAAAGCTTCTGAAAACCCATTGAAACTGCCGCAAAATCGAGTTTCACGAGTTTCTTAACAAGCGGAGCGAGCTTTTTACGCCGCGAAGCGGCCAAGCGAGCGACAAATTCGCGACAGGTCCCGCGCCATATAAACATCGGACGAAGGACGTTTTTGAAAGTCTATTGTAGCGGGAGAGCAGCTTCAAGAAAACACTCCAGGAAGCGGTTTGTTGGCGATTTTTCCAGGGAAGTGTCGAACTTTTAGAAAATGTATCGAGTAAAAGTTGGCTTGGCTCAAAATGAAAACTGCCAGTCGCAAATAACTAAAGATGCTTTCTCGACAACAGAAGGATCCAACCTCGTTCTCAGGGTTCTCTCCTACCCGCCCTACGGGTCCGCTCCGTAGGGCGGGTAGGAGAGAACCCTGGGAACGAGGTTGAGAAGGATCGAACAGAGCAGAGCCTTTGAAATAAATTGTTCATCTCTTGTCGGGTTTTGTATGTAACCTTTTCCTGCTGTGTCACTATTGTTGTCCCTTTTCTGGTATGTATCAACACTGACAGCTTTGGTGTTATAATCTGTTATAATCTCGTCACAGGTAATACGCCGCCAAAAATCTTTTCCCCCTGTTTTCTGGAAATGAAAATCAGGGCAAGTTGAGGGTACGTTTTAAACTCCAAGTCGGCAACCCGTAACGATATTTTTTCAGTAAGAGTATTTTTTCACAGGTAGTGCTAATGATTTGCTATCCCTAACTTCAACTGCTTATAACAAAAGAACAAACCCGCTTAACAAAAATCTGAGACACGTGCTAAGAAGCGAATGCGATCTTAATTGGCTTCTTCCGTTTATTTTTGGCTGGCCTGGACTTAAATTTACAGTGACACCCACTTTCACAAAAAGCTTCTCATTTCTGAATCGTGTTAATATTTTGATTTTTTAAAAGGAATAAGCAATAATCTGGAACTATTAAGCTTTCATAAAATGTACGGTTTATGGGGGTATTTATTAAAAGCAAAAGCGCTAGCGCCGATCAACGCAGGGAGGGTACTTGAGGGTGGATGAAACCTTAATCTGGATACCTTGAATTTAAAACCTTCTCCAGGGTCCTTGACTTAGAAAACGGTGATTATGAATTGTTATGCGAGGTTAACAGTTATACTGCAAGGTAATTACTGATCGCTATATATGCCTTAAATATATGCCGGCACTGAACAAATAGAGCATGCGTACCATTTGATGATTATTCAAAGTTCTCGGCCCTTGTCTTGTGAAAATACTGATCCTCTTTAAAAGTGCTCATTTTATAATATTTAGCTAATTTGGTTAGCTCTAAGATTTCTCTAATTTTTTTTAAATCTTTTGGCACATCTGCTAAATTTTCTTCCTCTACGCAACGCCTTGCCAGGCTCCCGGTCAGTAATTCTAAAAGTTAACGCCATCTTAAAATTAATGCAAAACGTTGTAAGCTTTAGGACGGCCTTTTGATCATATCTTCAGTGATGCATTTTGAAAATCTTGTGGTTTTGAATGATTTTACTAGGTTCTAAATTTGGTAATGTTGAAGGTTTAATTTTAAATACCATATTGTTCACAAAACATGAAAACTTCTACTGTTACAGTATCTAAGATACCATCTTGTCTGTAATTAATAATATATTCTACATCTGTTAATTTCCTCCTATAAGTTTGTGTCTTGGCCTGACTGACAACCTAAGGCAGTTTACTAGTAACCTACCTATATATTGCCATACGTGTCTACCTTCAGCGAGAACTAGCAAATATTCACGTCATCCAAGCCTCGTTTGGGAACAAAATTCTTTATATATTCACTGATTGCACATAAGTACTATTTTCAGCTGATTGTTATCATAAGTTTACAATTTCAAGATGAGGCTAATGGTGGTGAATGTTGCGGGTATGATGCAAACATGTGAACTAAATAAATGTGGACCTACGATGCATGGTACTGAAAAAACTTCAGTAATATCGCTGAAACTGCCATCTGGTCGAAAGTTAATAGATCTTCAGTTTTTCGTTTTTTCCATATAACATTGAAAATTTTAGTTAGTACCGGATAGCTTCGAAATCTTTAGCTGAATATTTATACCACTGTCCTCATGGTAGGAGAAAATTTATCCTTTCAGTGTCAAATCCATATTTCCTTTATTTATTCCCAGAGCAACATTCTTATCCCTTGTCACAATGCATAATTTGCAAGATCCTGATTTCGAAGTTGGAAAGTTTTACGGAAACTTTTCCTCTCTACAATAGATTCAGCTGTTCAATACGATTGTCGTAATACAAAATTTGAGGCAGTATCTCTCATTCGCTCGCCGGTTTATAGTGGATGGGAATTGTTTGGCCGACTGCCAAATTGTTCGAAGGTATACAGCATTTTATTCATACGTAAAAATAAAACACACAATAACTAGTTGTTCCTGTCTATTTTAGACCCTCTTCAGCATCAGAGGTAAATACATATAACACGTATTATTAAAATTAAGACATGTCATTTCCAAAAGAGAGGCAAGTACTTTCTAACCTCAACCTCACCTTTTTACTAGAAGCGAGGGTATTTGCTCACGAGAGCTACCAAACAGAACCCTGCTACATCGGCTGTGGAACAAGTGTGGGGAGAACGATATACATTGTATTTATATAGCTGGAATTTTGCTAATAGATCAATCTTAGCCTTTAAACTTAACTGATTAGTATACCCTCTTATCCTAAAGCTAAAATAACATTAAACATTACCATTCTCACCTTGTTTGTTTTTTCTTTCTGCCTCCTCATTTTGATCTGTTTTTAAGGAATACAAAAGGTACATGTCTTTACTAGGAAGGAAATGACAAATGTCCCAACGAAACCCTGAAACGTTGGGCTTTCAGTTCCTTGTTATTAGATTTTGGCACCGAGTCATTCATGACAGATCGGCAGGTAAGGACATTTGTTAAGAGCAAATTGCACACAGGAAAAACAGCGTTTTATATTTGCATTGACGGTAAGTGATTCAATATTGTTTGTAAATCTACCTGCTTGCAGTCCGCGTTATAACTTCAGGCGATGGGTGTCTAATTACATTTTGTTTTACGTTTTCAGGGACACGTATTCTCTCGTAGACTGCTTAAAATAACCGTTACGACAAACTAGGAAAAGAAAAAGAAAGGTAAAATATAAACCTCTCAACAAACGAACCTACTCAGCGGTTAATAATAATGATAATGGCAATTAAATCAATAATAATCGTAGAATTTAACTTGTTTTAATATTTTGACAGTAGCCATATATTATCCATTCGGTTCTTTTCGAAGCCATGTCTCAACCTTATCATAGTTCTTGGTATCTTTAAATTAGGAAAAGGAAATTCTACATTTCTATCCTCCGATAAGAGCTTAGCGGAAGTCTTAACTGCAGGATATAATTATACTCCTCGCTGTGGTAAGACTGAACAATGGATTACCCAGCGCCTGTGAAACCTTACAAATTTTAAAGCGTTTCACAGATAAACCGGAATATGTTTGCAAACGCGTAACCAGCTGTGCGTAGTTTCTTGTGTCACGTTATTATTGAACTTTTGGAAGGTTCCTGTTTCTGTCGGGTTGAATGACTTTCTACTTTACGTTCTATACACAACGGTCAAGGTAAAGGATGTAACGGACGAAAGCATAAATTACGGGGGAGGTAGTGAAATGTGTCTCCTATCGTAAAATTCCCTTCCCCTGAAAATGCCAATTGAGATTTAGCTGACATTTCTTACATTTTCCCAATCTGGCAGAGGTGCGTGAAACCGCTGGTAAAAGAGTGAGCCTCAGTTTAAAATATCAGTATCACCTATCTACTTGTCAAAAGATAACAAAAAATATAACTTTTATTTAAGCTAAGGGTAATTTTAGCTTTATAACATTCAAAACAGTTGAAAACTAAACATGGTGCCCGTTTCCTGACACAAGGGTGATTTAATTTGGTTGTATAAATAAATTTCAGTTGCTTCAATACTAAGCTATAAACCTGTAACAATGCCCTTAATCACAGACCGCCATGAGCTCACACATTAGTATTATTAAAAGTGTACTAAGCCACATGAGACTACGGAAACTATTATACTCTTAACACTTTCATTTCCTTAAAACTCAGGGAGGATTTGCACAGAGTCATCTATCTTGGTGATAAACGGGCAAAAAGTCATTTCCTATTCGTTTCTTTTATAAAAATACACGGGAATTATTCAAACATATTAGCAAAAACTGCACTTAATGTTTTGGCGAGCTTTTATTTTTAAACTATAGTTAAAGTGGTGTTATTGTTTGAAATAAAAACTCTTAATTGCAGTTTTCCTCTTACGGGACTGACACTTTGTCAAGCTACCACAATGTGAACCTTAAAACCAAGGCTGGAGAGATTCACCTTTAATCGACTGTTTGATAGAGACGTAATTTTGCGTCTCGTATCTGTATTTCTCGTATTCTTAAAGATAGATCAAGTTGTGAAAAGTTGGGAAAACCATGTTGATGCAGGTGAAATGTTAATCTCTACTTATAACGCACTCATTCAACTGTCCTTTTTTGTAATGCTGTGTGGGGCAGTTGTGGAAAAGGCCTCTTTAAAAAGTTTCAAAAACCCTAAAATCCGGTGGCTTGTATTTTTACCTTCTCAAATTATGACTGCGACGCAGATAAACTGGTCCATGACCTTGGATAGAAAAACCTTGAACTATCAACGTATGGTCAGTAAATCTGTTTTAATGTACAATACTTTACATTTTTATAAAACGACTTGTAAATGAATATAAATAAAGGCCATGTATCGCTTCTTGTTTTGCTAGGCTTAAATGCCGCATTTGTTACGGTAGGTCATAAGATCCTAAAGCATAGACTGCAAACGGAATTTTGCCTTGGAGACCCAGTTCTCTCGTGGTTCGTTTCACATGTAACTCATCGATCACAGCGAGTTTCGGTTTATGGCGTGATTTCTGATGTTCTATGTCTGTAAATCGGAGTTCCTCAAGGGTTCTGTCTTGGTCTTCTACTGTTTTCGATCTATGCCAGCAAGGTATTTGATGTTATTGGATTGCATCTTCCATCTGTGCATGCGTACGCTGATGACCTCAGCTGTATCTTTCATTTTGGGCCAATAGTATTGACGATCAGACCTCTGCCCTTGATGCAATGGAACCCTGCATCAGCGACATTAGGTCTTGGATGCATCATGATAAGCTTAAGCTTAACGATGAAAACACTGAATTCTTACTCATTGGTACACGTTAACAATTAGCTAAAGTTTCTGTTAACTGAATTAAGGTTGGATCTGAGAATGTTTCTTCGGCTGGCAAAGCCAGAGACCTTGGTGTGTGGCAAAGCTTACAATATCTACTCACATCAATAAGACGTGTGGAGCAGCATTTTTCTACCCTTACAATATTCGCCGCATCAGAAAATTCCTATCTAAAGAAAGTACTGAGACCCATTCACGCGTTCTTTACTGGCCGCGGGCTTGTTTACCAACAGAGTTTATTATTATGCAAAACGCACTGCAGTTATAGCTTATTTCGATGCGCTTTTTATTTGGGTTATAAGCCCCCTCGGATATAGGTCCCTCTGTTTATAAACCTTCCTAAAGCCCCCCCCCTCCCGTACACTGAAATATCTAGTATAAGCCCAGGGCTTATAAGCGGAAGTTTACGGTATTTTATATTTTAAATATACATAACATTTAATTTTCATTAACTCTAAAATATAAACTTTTTGTACCCTTTTATCTTCAATGGTTGTGGAAATCAAGCTTGGTTGTTCTGTTCTTCGATTACATCGAACATAAGGCTTTTCATTATCTATTGATGTAGACAAGGCTGTTGTGAAAACGAAAAAGTAATTCTCTTGAACGTAATTTTAAAATTCCCTCATTTTTAAGCAGAATAGTAGTATTTGTGTATTATAAAATATATATTTATATAATGTCTAATTTTTTTATTTATTTAGCTTGTGTATAATTGTGTAAATTGGCCCGCCTCGACTAACCTTGCTATATATATTTGTAATTTATTTGTAAATTCAAATAAAAGTTGAATTTTATTTGACATTTCTGATTACATCGTTGCCCACACGTCCGTACCAATTATTTGGCGGATTCAGCGCCGATTTTGACTGGGAGTCGCTGTAAAGTCAAACCCCGTTAATATGGACATGTCCACTTAGGTGGCCAGAGAAAGTGTCTGTATTAGTTAACGGAGTGTCCGTATTAAGTGGGTTGAAGTTAGAGAAAATGTAAGGGCTTTCTTTTCCAGGGACAAAGGAAACTGTCCGTAAAACGGGGTTTGACTGTACTTAAAAGAGTAAACGCTGTTGGACCCAAAGTTGTTCTATTTTCTGCCGCTGTACCGTTAAGTGTTTTATGCCGGACCTACAGACAAGTGACGGCTCTTTGCTACAAGCGAACCACAATTTGTGTTCAGTTTCCCCCAATTAAATCTATAGTTAACACCGAGTTCCCGCTTAGTCTTCAATTGTTCATTAGTTGGAGACCCTTTCGTCACATACTAATATGACATCATGATAATGCCACATTACGTCATTTTTGTCAATCAAATAATACCTAGATGTTAAACTGAATACTCTTTTTGTGCAAATTTTGGTACCTTACGATCCGACAACGGCAACGTCCATGAAGACGTCGCTGAAAAATAGACTTCGCATCGTTTAAAACTTTTTCGCGATTATCTCAATTCGCCCTGTTACTTAAAGGAATGGAATTTATAGGTTGGAACTGAAGAGAGGGGGCCGCGCCCGAGATCAGACAGAGATGGTAGAATTTATCGTCTTGCCGTACGCGTTCCCGTCCTAGAAAAAACCTTAAAATTTGGTCATTTCACGTCGTAGTTGTGCAAGGACAGCTATGAAATGTACAAAAAAGTGTGATGCACGTGCAGAGTTGTTGTTTTGCTAATTAAACCTACTGCTTTTTCGACGTTCTCCTTGCCGTCGCCGTCGTAGTTTCGTTGGCCACAAGGAACCCGAACGCTGTTTTAGCTAATAGAAAAATTAAATGTATTTACGCTGTATAAGACAATAAAATAATAAGATGTGTTTACCTTTGTTCCTGTGTCTTTAAGAGTCGTTTTGGAAGGGATTTGAATCCGATCATAGACGGTTAACATTGCTAGTTATCAAATGAGTTTGCTTGTCTGGCACGTCGTAAATAAGGCGCTAAAGTTTCGTCTCACGTTTCTAATATTGTCATGTTAACTATTAACTCTCGATCTCCTTGGGAGATAATCTCGGGTTTCAAATTAACTAGCCTGCGTTGCGAGCGTCAGGGGCACCCAACGAGTAAATAGTTCAAAACCACTTAACATAGCATTGTTGAAGGTATTTTAGTATTCAAACTGTAGATATAGGCATATTTTTATCCCCTAAAAACTTTTCATCTGTTCTGATTTCCTAGCTGAAAGTCTAATGATCCGAAAATTATAGGGATAAAAACTTACCCTGTCGAAAATGTCAGCCAGGAAAAGGCTCCAAAAAATTCTAGGTGGCCTTTTTTAGGGTCAAAATCCGTTAAAAATGGGTAATTATACCATTTTGTAGATGTTCGAAAATCCTAGGAGAAGCAGGCTCGAAATTTTACAACAAATCTAGAAAAAAGATCTCAAATCGGAACAGATATTTTAGAAAATTGCCGTTGGGGGACAAGAGCAAAAAGAATGACCTTTTTTTGCTTCCGCTCTAACTTTAGCCCAATAACTCGATTGGAAACGCTTGCTATGCAGGCTACAAATCAACTGTCTACTCGTGACAGTT